CCTACTGCCTTCTATCTTCCACCTACTACCTACTACCTGCTACCTACCACTACAACTAGTACAACAACAACAACTACTACTGCTGCTACTACTACTACTACTACTACTACTACTAGCATTCTTCCTTCTACTACTATTATTCCTCCTACTATTGTTCTTCCTCCTACTACTATTACTATTACTATTGCTATCTATTACTATTACTATTACTATTACTATTACTATTACTGCTACTACTACTACGACTGCTGCTGCTGCTACTTCTACTTCTGCTTTTGCTTCTACTTATACTTCTTCTTCTACTTCTTCTACTACTACTACTACTGCTGCTACTACTACTACTACTACTACTACTACTACTACTACTACTACTACTACTACTACTACTACTACTACTACTACTACTACTACTACTACTACTACCTACGTTCTAGTAAGTCGTAGCGTAGCAGAACCGTACGTTGTATACGTAGTAGAATAGTGGAACGTAGCGCGTGCTACACACTATGTATCAGGAGCCACAAGGAGCTCCTCCCGCGTAAAGCTGTCGATGGCGATCCGCGTAAGCCCCTTTGTTTTGAACTAAAGGCTTAAAATAGGTTGAAACCTTTGCATGTTGCAAAGAAAGAGAGTGAATCGGATGTGTTTGGCCTAACGCTCGTTCCGCGTAGCCGCAGCGTAGCCTCCCAGGCCTGTTCAAGTCCACTTGCCCGCATGCCCGTCTTCACATCATTGCCACTACTACGTACCACCTACTGCTGCTGCTGCTGCTGCTGCTGCTACTACTACTACTACTACTACTACTACTACTACTACTATTAGTACGTTTTTATTCTACTACTACTACTACTACTACTGCTACTACTACTACTACTACTACTACCACTTAAACGAATACTCGCACTTCCTATACTCCTACGTTGCGTTTATGCGGGTCTCTTCGTGGGCGTGCGCCCTGGGGGTGCGCCCGCTCGCAGCCACTCGCGGCCACTCGCAGCCACTCCCAGCCACTTCCACAGATCCCAGGCAAGTGGCTGCGAGTGGCTGCGAGTGGCTGCTTTCAATTTTGTGCACATTGGCATGCTCCCTGGAACCCCGAGTAAGTGACAAAGTTCCCACGCGGATGGAAATTCCATGTTGGCATCACAGGACTCAGCAACCGTTTTTTGCAACCAAACCATTCGCTGGGTGCTAAGTACCATATCCACAGAAAGCACATTTGAGGCATAGCCTTGTTACCTGAAACCTGGTTTGGGGCGGACTCTTTTTTGCTCCCCTTGTCCGGGTTGGTTGAGCAACACGACCACATGGTTGGTTTTTGTTTGAGGCCGGGTACTTTTGTTGGTTGGTTAAACCCAAGGGAACCAACCATTTGGGGGGTCCAAACTAAAAAGGGGACACCCATATGAGCCTTTTCAGAACCCGACGATTTCTGGCCGTCGCAGGTGGGTGGCTTCTCGGTGAAAGGTGGGCAGTTTGATCAGGAGCGCTGGACGAAGGCGGGAAGACGATCGACAGGTAGGATGGTGAATGGGTGTTTCCAAGGTAGCCCATGTGGCTGTGGCTCAAAAAACCGGTACCAAAATGGAACCTTGGTAAGTGGAAACATGGACCAAAACCTGCGTAACCCCTCCTGTTTAATGTTGAGCCACACCCATTTTTCAAAAGAAGCTGGTTCCTTCAAAAATTGAAATCCGTTTTAAGTGTTCACCGGGGTGTCACCTGAGGTGCAGAATCCCGTGAATAGGGGTACATGTCCTAAGGTGTCCTTTTGGTGTCCAATGTAAATGCCATCAGAAAGGGGTCCAAATTTGAGAAATTCCCGTACAGGTATGGATGTTCCCATTCTCCCTCCCAGTTTGCAGGGGAATCCATCAATCCGCCAGGCTTAATTGTTGCCACACCCGTCGAATCAGGGGTTGGTTGGAATCCCCCAAAAGCCCCAGCAATGGGGGCTTCTCAGGCCTCGTGAAAAGGGGTGGTTGTGGGCTGAGGTTCTCATTCGAATCTTTGCAGAGTCACAGTCAGAGGGTGCGGTGCAGCCTTTTGAGCCCTGATTTAAAGTGTAGTTGGAAGCAGAAGGCCCGCCCATGAGGGGTGCTGTGCAAAATTTATATGTTAGGGGGAAATCACCAAAGGAGTCTTACTCCCCCCTTCACTCAAATCTCGAAAGCTGTTTTAGGGAGATCTTGGATGCTAGGAGGGTAACTTGCCAGACCGCGAAGGCCCTGAAGTTCATGCTCATGGACCTCAAGTACCTCATCCCAGTGGTCGAGTCGTCTGAGAGCCCAGAGGTGTCAAAGGTGCTTGAGGTTTCCTGGCTTGGGAGCCAAAGGAACGGGACACCGCCAAATTTTCGGGGGCCTTTTCGGAAAAGTGCAACTTCTTTGTGGGATGGTGTGTAGGAAGGGAAACCGCGCCAACACAATAAGCTGTCTCAAATAAGCAGCGCCCCCCCCTGCTATTTTGGTTCCTTTGATTCCTACGGTTTACTTTTCTATTACATCCCCCAAACTCAAAGTCATTGTGCCATCTACTTTCACCCAACTGTGTTGGTAGGGCTCTCACAGGCATTAGAAGGCATAGCCGCGTTCGAGCCTTCACTCAGGCGAGACTTTCTGTCAAGGACTCCATCCAAGAGCCGGTAAGCGGCCGCGCCCCGCCACCATCTCCTGGAGACCAGGGTAGTCCTTTTTCTGGGATGCTCATCGAGCCAGTTTGGTGTGCAAACTGGTTTCATGGGCGTCGATTTGGCCCCCGTCCTGGTGCTGGAGTGCCAATGTCCAAACTGGCAAGAAGTTTAGGATAAAGTGTGACTGTGCATTTGTCTGGGCTAGAGTCACGAGACATGCCGCCTTTGCGGATGACTAAGACTTGTGTTTCCAAACAATGGAATGTAATACGTGTTGCGATGCGCAAATACGCAGTGCTTGTCAATGTTCATGAATTGAACATTGACAAATGGATTATATTGCTGTGCAAAACACATTAAATAGCAAACAGGCGAGTGGCACTGGTCAAACAAGTTTTTGTGAGATTTGCAGTGAGGGGTGGGTGACCCAACAGTATAAGCACGTATTTCAAATACATGCGAAACGCATGACGTAATAGGAATAGGTATATCTAATGAGAGGGTATGACTGACTGCATTCATTCTGATTGAAATTGAGCTGGGAGCCACGGCTTCTTTGGGAAGGTTCTGTTCCACAAATTCAAAGTTCTTGCGACGGCCCAGCAACGATGCACACGACGTGGTTTGTACATAGATCAGTCGCCCGAGAGCGACCAAAGCTGAACATGCGCCCAGCGAATTGCAGCGCGTGGCAAAATATTCAAAGAGTTTTGAGGATGTCGCTTGATATTTTTTATTGCTTAGGGTTCACTAATTCTGAACCATAATCCGAACAACCATGAACAACATGTTTGCTAGAGGGGGTCAAAAGCTGAGGTAGTTTCAAGGGTTTGGCGTTTGGTTGTCAGCAAAATGCTCACTGTGAATTGGTCACCAGTGATATTGGACTTGTGATCTCAGCTCTTTCTGAAAGTATCAAAGCTAGAGTTCCCCGGGTCCTTTCCCTTCAACTTGGCCGCTGAAAGATACCGCAGGATCCCCTCGTAAGGCAGCTGGTTTTGGATGTTCTTTTAGGATCCCTCTTTCAACATACCATGTCGTGGCCCAGACAGCCTCGTAAGCCGAAGAGAGCTTGGAGCTTGTAGTAAGATTGGCATATTCTTACCGGGTGTCCACTCCCAAACACAATTTGATTTAATTGTTCATCCCGTCCCTTGACTCGGGCCCTTGACACCCGCTTTTTGAGCAACCTCGAAATGCTCAAGCTGCTGCATCCAGGGTTGAGGGAACGAGGGCATCTTTCCCACTTCTGTCATGCTGAAATGCCAGGGAACCTTCCCTTTGAGCAAAGGATCATTAGGAAGCTCCACCCGATCGTAAAGTTGGACAATGAGCGCCACATGTCCCGCAAAAGAAAGCCGTACACACTGTAGGTTGACCCAAAATATAGGATGCGGGATGTGGAAAAGCATGAGAGATAAAGAGAGAAAGGTGGAAGGGAAAGGAATGTTGATTGAAAGGGATTCGTCTCTAGGACCATCCCTTCCTCAATTCCTTTCTCGCCTCTTTACTTAGAAGAGATAAATAATAATAGTAATAATAATAATAACAATAATAATAATACGAATAACAATAACAACAATAATGATGATGATGATGATGATGATAATGATGATAATAATAGTAACAATAATAATGATAAATGCAATGTCATAAAATCCTTACAAGATAGCACTTGCATACAAGGTTGATAAAAGAGAAATATTAATAAGAAATAGAAAATTAAAAGGAAATAAATAAATGATATAAAATGCGAATAGATTCTTAAGACGATTCCAACATGTAGAACATAAAATATACAACAACAAATACAATAAAATGCAAGCAAGAAATAAGAAACATATAGTGAATAAGATAACAACACGCTATTGAAAAAAGGGCTTGGTAAGGACAGTCTTGGATGGTAATGAAACAATAGACTGATATGCCTTGTCTGTCTTTCATTTCCTATCTTCACCAAAATTCCAAACACAAGAATGAAGGACATGAAAGTAAGATAAGACAAGGCAAACATCTTCTTTCACCTTCATTATCTTTTCTTAGTAATTCCTCAGATCCTAGATGAAGAGGATCTCAGAGAATGAAGGATGACCATAATAACAAGACAATCAAATTCTATAAATAAATCCGCTATCATATTGTGGTTATTTGCTTTGTCAAGGAATTTACAGTTAGAAGCATTCCTTGGCAGGCAGTACGTCCCAGATGAAAGGATGTGTTTCATGCCTGCTTGCAAAATGAAAAGTTGCCTTTGTTTCTGACCTCTCCTTCCTTGTGGTTTCCCATGAAGCCCCTCTAGAAGGGCCACACACGCGGGCTCAAATCAAGCATGATGTTTGGGCAAGAAGGCTAACCTGCCGGCGATCGGGCTCGAAGACCAAGGGCCCGCCAGAATCGGCGTGGGCCCTCCCCATTCGGGGAAGCCATGGGAAGTGGGGCCAGTAAGAAGAGCAATGCGGCTTCTGGGCCAGTGCAGGTGAAGCCAAGGACCGCGCAAGCCCTGTACCTATCTCATAGGTTTTGTTGGCTCTTAATGACACTGAGGGTGCAACAAGTTGGCTCACGAGGGTTGCTTGGGGTGGACCTAGTGTCTTTATATGCTTCCAGTCCACCCCTGATCGTTGGCCTGGTTTGGCGGGGCGACTAGGGATTGGAACACGCCGACAAGCCTTCTGTCAACACCGCGGAAACCGTGTACGTCGCGAACCATGTTCCTGAAGCGATTTTCTACAGAGAGTCTCTATTATTTCTAAATATTTCGCTGGAACCTTGGCGCTGCGCATTCGCGGGCACTGCACATTGCACTGACGCCATGGGTTGTCGACACAACGTCTCACGCTATTCATTTCGCCGCCTCGAAGAGCATGGCGTTGTGTGCGATAGCAACCTGCGGCCTTCATTGTCACAGCCCGCACCGTCATGATCATCATGGTGCTTGAAAAACAAAACTGCTTGTGCTCGATGGCGTTTCAGTACCACGGCAGTGTTGTCGTGTCGCTTCCGTTTCCTCAGCCATTGAAGATGTGGCGCAGCTGTTCCACATCTCTTATACTCAGCGGTACTTCATCGATGTTCTGGCTAACGCGTGTATCAGCGGTGTTCAGCCGGAGTTGTTTGTTTCGTTGTGAGATTGTATAATTATTGTTATTCAACAATCTTAATTTCTAATAGTACGGGGTTTTTGCCCTCGTAAGCTCAAGAGTGGCCCGGAGCAGCTCTAGGGTTTCGGAGGGTTCTGGGAGGTTCCACAGAACGGTTGCTGATTTGCATGGTTCCCGAAGAGGCAACTCTAAAACCAAGTCGATGATTTATTGGACGCCTTCGCTGGACGGCGAAAAGTGCGAAGGGAGCTGTGATATACCGCCTGTCTCGGAGCTGTCATATACCCATGGAGAACCACCACGTAGTGAGAAACAAGCATCCCGTTGGCACCCGACTTACAGCTGGGCAGGCGGAGTAGCCCCCCTGAAAAAGCAACATGACATAGCACAATAAATTTGCCCATATGCAGACATCTCCTGTTGCAGATCTGCTGTGGGAGACTTAGTGTGAGTGTGCCTCTTTTGGAGTCACAGGCAAACCCCAAACAGTATTTTGGAAGATACCACCTTTGGGGTTATGTTTAAAGAACGAAGCCAACGACAACCTGAGACCAGAATCTGAACATGTGATTGTTGTCTGGAGCAAAACCTGAGCTAGGAAACCTCAACCCCAAACAGAGTCCCTTTTTAAGCAGGGTCGGCAACTGGGGAACCAAGGGAACTTGGGCTGTTCGGCCAAGCAAGCAAGTTCTTGGTACCCTAGATTATAACCCAGTCATCGTGGAGTCAACCCTGTTATAGAATTACAATTTTTATATTATATATATTTTTTTAAAAAAAAAAAAATTATGGCCATGATTTATTTGGCTACCCTCTTACTGGCCGAATGGTGGGTGGTCTACTGAGTTCACCTCGGCGAGGAGCGAAGTCCCGCACTATGAGGGGCTCAGCCTCGGCGCGGCCGCGGACATCATAGACACCTTAAACCTAAACCAAGAGGCGCGAAGCAAACGACCTGTTCTCAGAGACAAGGTTGATCTGAAAGCCCAACACACGGGTTCCAGAAAACGAGCCGTAAGAAGTGTCTTTTGAGTTCAAAGACCAATTCAGGGTCAAACAAGCAACACAATTGATTGGGTGTGTTTGCTGTCAAACAACAAAGAAACAATGCAAAAGGCATCGTTGAGGCAAACGCTCATCACGATGAGTCTTGTATAGTTAACAGCATGTGATAAGCAACCTGACGAGTCTTGCACCATTTCAAGGCCACGTAGGTCCACCTCCAAGAATCCCTGGAATGATGATTCCCGTGTAGATTGCAACAACATCGGTTTGGTTTCACGTCAAAGGTGTCCACGGCAATTGGTTGTCATCTCATAGCCGAGTTTGCAAACAACTTGGCTGGTGGCTTTGAGTTTGAACGGGGATCTCTTTCATTGCTTGTTCTAGATCTATTTCAGTCTCACTGCTGTGGAGGAACCAAATCCTGCACCACCCAAGAATCCCTGGAACGACGATTCCCCTGTAAATACCATGGTTTCTGTCCATCCACACTATGAACCAGACTCCATGGGCCCGCTCCCATGGGCCCATTTCGAGCGCCAGGTCGGCAGCCGTCCTTTGGCGCAGGCCAAGGTGGAGGATGAGGACATAGAGGACGCACGGGGTACAGGGCCCCGAATTTTGAGTTTCGCCCAGGGCCCCGAATTGTGCGGCGAATTGCCATTTTGTGTAAAATGAGAAGCGGCTGGTCCAATGACCCAGAATTCACCTCATAGGAGGAAAGTTCCCCAGAAGTGGTTGAGCACTCCGGGCTTTCCACTGCCTACTGTCGCCCGGCCCTGGCTGCCGGTGGGACATGAGTTTGATCTCATCAATTAAAACGGCTAGTGTTCGTTTCAGCCGTGTTTGTGCAATTTATCCACAATCAGCACAAAGTCCTGGTGGACTCCTGGGTCACGACCGTTCGCTTGCCAGCGACGTTCTGCCTCGAACACGCAAGAGTGTCCCTAAAGAGATTCTCCAGACCCCAAATTCGCCAACCTGAATCCGGCGAACAAAGTAGATGCTTATAAGCACGCAAGTTCTGCACAATGGCACACAATGCATGCTTCACAGATGCAGCGTGGAGAGCCCTGGTTTTAGAATGACACGCCAAGAAGCAAATCCCGTCAGCGATGTCGATTTGCACACGATCATCGGTAGTGCAGACGCATTCGACACTTGCCATGACCAATGTTTCTAATTGAAAGCAAGCAGCGCTTTTCAAACATCCCCTCAGACAATCAGCACGCCAGAGATATGGGATTTCCAAGATGTGCAGGCATCACTTTGAATCGAAACCGGGTAATTTCACTTTTTGACCAGTTCAATCGTCCCGATTTTGTCAACCACTTGATGCTCACCGGTGACGTCCTCTGAAAACTACCTCGTTCAGAAACACAGTCTCCTTCTTTGGTTCCTCTGATTTGCCGAGACCTTCTTCAACCACATATTTTGAATACTGTTTCAATGCCCACTTTCCGGCAACAACGACAACGCCGCGTATCCCCCCACAATCTATGTAACATGTACCAACACTTGATGCATTTTGGGGGGGGGTAAATGTATCCCCCCACAATCCATGTAACATAACCCAACATTTGACACATTTGCGGGGTAGATGTGGAATCCATGAAGTGTTTGGGTCTAAGAAGCACATCTACCCTGGATTCCATATGTAAGGGAATCATGGCTCTCCATGGATTTGGGATAGTGAACCCTGGATGGTGGGTAGATGTGGAACCCATGAGGCACTGCTTATCCACCTCCATGACTAGGTCCCCCAGTAGTGCCCTTTTACCCTTTTTTGGGGGAGGGTTCCCCTACTAAAACAGAAAAAAAGAAAAAAGAAAAAGAAAAAAACGGGTGCCCTTGTTCTAACCTCTCTGGAGGACCTAGCATGGTTTTGGTTGGGTCTAGTGAAACACCTCTGGGGCTAAAACCGTAACTCGCAAGGCGGAGATGGCCCAGGCGATCTCGCGCCACCCAGCCTCGCCCTCGGCCGCCGCTGGAAGCAGCGCTTCGCTGGGGACTTCGCCGGCGCGGCCGCCCAAGGCGGGACGGGAGCCGCATGAGGCGTGCGTCCTGTTGGATCCGTTTGGAGATTCGACGCACAAACGCCCAGAGCGAAAATTCACCTGAACTGACCTGTTGTCTGTTTTGTTGTTGGTGATTTTTCAACTCCGATGTCGACGCCTCAGGATTGCTTGCCCCATGCGTGTTTTGAATAGACATTATTTTCAACAACCACAACCTTTTTTTCAAATCGAAGCCCCTGTTCTGGCCCTCCAAGCGGCAGTGAACCTGACGACCTCGGGGACCTCTCAAATGACATCCACATTGTGAGGTTCAAGGGCAATCTAAACATCGGCGTCTTTTTACTGGGCAAGGCCCTTCCTCCCTCTGACCCAAAAGTTGGAGGAGGGTGACCCAAAGATCGAAGAAAGTGACACCAGAGCCCAGGGGAAAACGGCGAGACCGCCCGTCGCCCCGGCGGCTCCGGCGGCAAGCCCCAGATCGGCGAGCCCCAAATCGGCAGCGAGCCCCAGATCGGCCGTAAGCCCCAAATCCGCGGGCAGAGAGACCTGGCTGCACTCGTTGCTTCACAACACGGGGGTGTCGTTTTTTTGGAGAACTCCTTAAATTGGTGGTTTTCCTAGCGGTTTCTCTTTGAGCGTCGCAAAAAGGGGTAATTACCAACTCCGAAAATAACACAACGAGTTGCAGAATGTTGGGTTGGCAGGGCACTCACTGCTCGAAGTATTCAACTTGGCATATTCGAAGGCAATCCTTGACGTCTCCTTTGTACTAACTTGTCTGCGCTTGTCTGTGATGCCGAATTGGCGTCCGACCTTTTCGAGCAAGCTCACCCACAGTGGGTCTTCCCCAGCGAATGCCTGGTTTGGGGAGGCCCCGAGCCAGGCTAAAGGGCAGTTGCCGGGGAATGGACACCCCCTTGCCTCTAAATAATGTTGGCTGAACTTGTTTTTTGTTGGCTGACACTATTGGGGAAATATGTACGACATACTAAGGTGAATACATGTGTATATATATATATATGGTTACATATATATATATATTAATGCATAGTATATATATATATATATGTGTATATACATATAATATATAACATGACTACATATGTGTATATATGTAAATTGATGCACACTACTTGGACGTTATTGGCTGAACTTGGGCTCATGTCTAGCAGCTGAGGAGGCCCCCAAGTCCGGCTCGGAGCCGCTGTGCGCGGCAGACCTGCATGCAGCATGCCGCAGCGGCGACGCTGCGGCGGCGAGAGGCATGTTGAAGCCCCCTGGCGCCAAGCATTCGTTTTTGGTTAAACCAACATGCTCCAGACTGTTTACTCAGGCATTGCAATATACAGTGACTGCACATCAGTTTAATATGCTGACACATATTCATGTGCATCATACATATATATATATATATATATGTTAAAATGTAATTCCAGCTTTTTGCGACCCCTTTACAACGAACACAACGAAGCACCCGTTTTGTCCGAAACTGAAACTGGGACACTGTCTTTTGGAGCAAGTGTTTGCTTTTGATCAATGACCCTTTGATGGACATTGTTTATGTTCGGATCTTTGTCTACCAATCAGTTGTGAGGGAGTTGCCGTGTTTGATTGCTCTGAAACTCACCATTTGGGGTTGTCTCCAAATGGGATACTACCGAAACCAGGTTGGGGTCTAAGGAATTGGAATGGGGGGCTTGGGGTACCCCAAAGTTCTCACGTGTCGCCCATTGCAGCCTCAGAATTGGGTTTGAACTCATTTGGTTTTCTTACACGTATACAACTGAGATGCTTATTCTCAACGGTTCGCGGGGGTTATCCAAGTCCAAGATTGGGATGGTTTCCCTTTGCCACTTGGGGGGTGACTTTGATACTGGTGGAAGAACGGGGCCCGTACCAAGCGCATATTCTCTTGTCATGAAAACCCGAGCGTCCTATGCTACCCGGTGCCAGGAAGACCTCGGAGCTGGACGAGGAGACCTTGTTCGATGAGTACGGGGACTCGGTGCTGCACCATGCAGCGCACAGCGGGGAACTGGAGATTCTGAAGCTCCTGCTGGAGAAGCAAGTGCAGGCCGGATCGCTCCCGGAATGTATTCAGCCTAGCCTGAGTCTACTAAGGAGCATGGGCGATAAGCTTCCCATGGCCCCCTTGATGGTTTGGAATCAATATTGCAACAGTGCTGCCCATGTGCCACGGACAAATATTTGGTTCCACGCCTCATGTTTGTGTTTGTTCTGCGGATGGCTGTCCCTTTGAATCCAAGCGGCAATGAAACAAATAGCAGGGACGGCTGTCTTTCCAAGTGACGCCCCTTTTTCTCTGGGTCCATGAAAGATAGCATGTCAGAGTTTCTCGCAATTGCCTTTGGAGGTTGGCGTCATTCAAGACATATTTCAAGGATTTGACGATTTGAAGTCACTCCGCGGAAGGCGTGTGAGCCAGCGTCAAGCAAGCGGGGGGACCTTCCCACGACTCCGAAAGGAATCAAGTGAGCCACGGGCCAACTGCAAAATGTCGCATCCAAAAGTGCACATTTGTTGAATTCCTACAGCTGTACCCGCGTTGCGCAGGGCCGTAAGGCAATTGAGCCTGTTTTCGTTGGTTCAGCATTGATGGCCAAGAGCTTGCGCTCACGAGCCCGCAACTTGATTTCATGTCAAAGCTGCTGTACGGCCTTTGAACAAAATGATTTGAGCCGGTTAATTATGGAGGTTCAAAAAGTGTTGTCTATTATGCACCGACGTTTTTTTTGTTTCGGGGGTCATCGCTGCAACTCGGAAGCTGGTGTTTTGACCCAGCTGTAGCATTTGTTGCCAATGTGATCGACCAACCTGTGAGCCCCGGAAGCAATGAACTGGGCCTGTTGCAGGGTCGTGGGATTTAGAAGGCATGAGATAGCAGAGCTGTAGTCCTATTCTTGAAGCCAGCGCCCCTCCCGTGAGCTTGTGTAACATTGGACTTCGCAAATCGTGTTCCACAGGCGGAGGCCGTTGCAATGGTTCATTGCCCTGGCACAGATTGACTGGCTGCCTTGACATGTCAACTGCAATGAGTGAGCGCGTTGGTGTGAGTAAGCATGTAGAGTTGAGGGGCTACCCTTCGGCTAGAGACTTTTCCAATGTCCACTGGCATGCAATGCACGAATTCGCAGGTTGCTTGTTCGCCTAGAACAAATCTGCAAAAGGCGGTACTGCTCACTGATTGGGTTGGGGGAATTGGATTCTCGGTGCCTCAGAACCTTCCTCACTTGAGCGGTGCGGTATCCTTTTGGGGTTGCTTGAAAAGGAGAAAGTGAATATCGAAATCCATTTTGGGGGGTTGCCTTGTGCTAAGACGCACCCATCTATTTTCACCTGACTGTATTCTTTTGAAAAGGTCGAATGGGAGCAGTGATGACTTTGAGTATCTGTGTGTGTGTGTGTGCGTATGTGTTTTACTGTGCTCCCAAAATGGATGTCGGCTTTCCTTTTGGTGTCCCTTTAACTCACTTCCTGAGTTCATGGCTGTGATTTTTTGTTGGGAAGACCGTTTTGGCGGTAAAAAAACATGAACTTGCATTGGCCAATCCACTCAGGGAGTGAGTTAAAGCCCAAAAAATACGGGTACCGACTCCAAGACTAGGTCCCCCGGTAGTGCCCTTTGACCCTGTTTTTGCGGGAGGGTTCCCCTACTAAAATAGGCAGACAAAAGTTGGTACCCTTATTTTAACCTCTCTACTGGTGACCTAGAAGAAAGGGAGGGCCGCAGCCATCAGCTCGCTCGAAGAGGTGGACATCCCCAACGCGCGGAACGAGACGGCGTTGTCGGTGGCCTGCCGCAAGAACCACACGGCGATGGCGCTGCAGCTGCTGAAGGCGGAGGCCGGGGGTTCTCATGCCCCAATTCTGTGAGGGTCTTCCCTCAGCAGATGTTGTGTGTGATTTATTTTGAGGTTTTAAGGTTATCCCTGATGACGATGTTTAAATGTATGGCGGGACCAACCTCGATTACCGAGTTCAGTGTTCGCAAGCAGCGGGCAGTTTCGATTTCATGTGGGTATCTGTTCTTAAACCAACCAAAACACGTTTGTTTGACATCGGTTTGGGTAGCATGCCAGGGGTTGATTCTGATCTATCGCAGCAGTTTGGTAAGGGGTCTGCTGCTCGGTAGGGGTACAGGCCCTTACAACCATCTTTGTAGCAAAAGCCTATGGGTTTGCTTGATGGAAACCATGCTCGAGTTTGCTCGAGTGGTGTTTTCTATGTCTCTTCGAAATCAAGTAAAAACAGGTGCCACACACCTTTTCATGGCCACCCACTGGAGGTCTGGGCAACCACTCAACCCGCCTGAAATGGATGCAGCTACCCCAAAATGTGGCGTTTGTTTTTCCCCCACGGCGGTCCATGGACAGACGCCAGTGGTCGCTCGCGAGGCCAACCCCAACCGCCCGGCAACCTCGGGGCTGACGCCTGTGCTGGCGGCCTTCCTGAGCGATGCCTCCGAGGAGCTGCTGGAGGCAATAGGAGCCCAATGAGAAACGCAGAATGACCCGGCTTGAGGAATATTAGAACATTACATTCATCAGTTGGTAGCTATTTGAATTTGCTTTGCGATGCTTTGCTTTGCTTTTCTTTGCTTTGCCTGCCTGCTTTCTTGCTTGTTTGTCAATATATTTGTTTGCTAGACGGCTTGCCTGCCGTCTGCGTGTGCGTGTTAAGCAAATAAAGCAAGAATGGTTGGTTGCTGGTGGTTTTCCGGAAAAAGCATGTCTTTGCGACTGTTCATGTCAAGTAGATCTCAGGAAAGAAGTTGGACTTGCAGCCAGTCTACCTCGGGCCTGTGGGAATGAGGGGCGTTGCCCACTTTAGTGACAATGCAACTAAAGGTACCTTCGTCTTCAAGTGAAGGGAATGCAGGCACATGCCACGACCCTGGACATTTTTCTCTTATCAGCTCTGTCACATAGATCTGCGAGTCTACAAATTGCGTTATGCGATGAATAGACAGATTCCAATACTTCACACAGCTTGAAATGTGCAAACAATCGCACTCCCAAAGCGTCCTCTCCTCTTTTTTTAGCATCGACTGAAAGAAAAACCCGAGAGGAGCCCAAAAGATCGAGCCATGAACTGATTTCGGGGTCCAATTCCCATTTCAGAAACACCAAGTCCAACTCTTTCCGGGATGCTACAGGGAGATGAGCAGTTTTGTGATACGTTTTCCAACCCCAGGCGACAGTTTCTGGGTGTCCCATTTCGGATTCGCCAGGCGCTCGTGGAGAACAAGGCGGATCTCAACGTGCAGGACCACCGCGGAGCTGCTTGCCTTCATTTGGGGGCCCCGGGAGAGCTGAAGAATTCATTCGGCAATGTCCCTTCAATCAGTTCCCGGTTTGGTTGAACCAAAGTGCTTCCACATCAAGAGACGAGGCTTCAACACGTTCAAGCAAACAAGAGACACACATATTTATTAGGGACGGGGGAAGATGTCAAGACTCATGTACACCACCAACTCAATCTCAAGTTGGCTAGGTCCTCCAGTAGAGAGGTTAGAACAAGTTGGTACCAACTTTTCTGTACGTGCGGCTTCACGGAGTGGGCCCCAACCATTGACGCCTATGCAGAATCTCCCTACTTGCGGCGTGGTTTGTCTTCTGCTTCCCGTTCTTGGGCTGTATAGAGTTGCTCGCGGCTAGCCAATTCGTCGCTCGGTCACAGGGGTGCCTTTCCCAGAGGGTCCAAGTGCCGGTACTTAGACCCTTTTACCCCCCAGAAGCCATCCTCATGATTCTGTGACGGAAAAGCGAAATCCACCCACCTTGTCGGAATCTATCCGATGTATCGCCAAGTGCCCTTTTACCCTTTTGGGGGGAGGGTTCCCCTACAGAAAAAAGGGTACCCTTCTTCTAACCTCTCTACTGGAGGACCTAGCCTTGTCGGAATCCATCCGATGTATCAGCATTGTGTTGAACACTGCGCAAATGCCTGGTGTTTCAGTGCAGAGTGCTGAGCCTCAGGCCCATGTTGTTCCCAGCCCCCCCGTTCACACTCTCAGCAGGTGTTTTGTTTTTTCTATTTGGTTGAAAGGGGACTCTAGTAAGCCCTATATCAACCTCAGCCATCTTTCTGCTTTTGCAAGCACAAAAATGCTGAGAGGGCACCTAAGAAACCTACCTGGGGAGCAGAAAGTGTGGAGAGGGTACATAAAACACCCCCCAAAAAAATAAGAAGAAGCAGTCTCAGGGACTCTTGGGCTGGCCCAGCCAACCAGTTTTGGGCACATTCACCCCACGAGCATCCGCAAAAATTCGGTAGGTTGGAGCGCTGCACTCCATGGCCCTCAGCAACAACCTGCGCCTCATGAACTGGCTGCAGCCCGGAGCAAAAAGGGAAGAAGTCGGGGTCCGACGAGCCATGACTACCGGAGTCTCCTTCCGGAGCTGGCTGGATTGGCAAACTGAACAAACGCATTTGAATTTTTTGTTGATCCGTTCTTTGGTTCTCGAAGTCACTTGGGGCTGGAGGCTCAAAAACCGGCGGCAATCCTTTGACCCTCGGCCCTTCAACTGCCGAAAAGCTCCGGGCAGGGGGGAGTGCTTTTGGAATGTCGCGCTTCAAGGAATGGGCGGAAACTTGGACCTGAAGAGGGTTAAAGCCGCAACTGAAGTCTTTGCCCAGTTGGCTTCGTCAGCCTTGCAACCCCAACCTTCAGACCTGGTTCCCAGGTCTCCACGTTTTAGAAAGGAGTCCCGGTCAGAATCAACTGACGAAGAGGGGCGCCCTGTGTCCCCGTATCTTTCAGTTCCATTGCCCAATTGCACCAAGGCACGTTTGTTGAGTTTCAAGAGCCTGTGCGTGTGTTGAGAATTTGCGTACGTGTTTTTGTGTACGTGTATATTATATATAACACCATGTTATCTATGTTATAAGTGTGTACCTTGTATAATTCACAACCCCGTGAATGGGACCCCCTTGCGAAAGACTAAAACGGACCATTTTGGGGTGTGTGTTTGCGTGTCTGTGTGTGGTGGTGTGTTTGGGGGGGGGTTCAAGGAAAAGTTCTATGAAACATATATGTATATGAATATGTATGCCGCCTCTGTGTGTGTGTATATTATATCTATAGACATAAGATTAATGTACACATGCATATGTGTACATGTATGATATATGTATCCAGCTGTTTATTTCATATGTATGCGTGTATGTGTGTATGTATCGGCGTATATGCATTTATACATATTATACATATAGAGAGAGAGAGAGTCATCTATGTAATTGCATATGTGTGTACACATGTTTAACTAGCCATACATATGACGTCATATATATATATATACATATGCACATGTACATTATTTGTGTATATATATATATTTAATATGTGTACACATATGCAGTCTCGTCTGAGTGTTACTAACATATCTCAATACATACATATATATATATACATTATTTATACATACACACCATCATATACATACGTATAATTTTAATGTACATATATATTTATATATATATCCTCCCCTTGGCCTGGTGGCAACCTTTTTTTTCTGTGAGGATCGAGCACTCGGCGGAGCTGGACCTCCAGACGGAGCACGGCACCACGGCGCTGATGCTCGCGGCCCGGCGGCCGGAGCTCGAGGGCGTGAAGCGGCTGCTGGAGGCCAAGGCGAATCCCAACTTGTCCAACAAGGCCCGGCTGCTGGATTCGGAGTCGGAACGAGGAGTCGGAAAAGAAGAGGACGGGGTTTGTGTGGCATATATGTGACAGATTTTGTGGGAAGATGCGGGGATTCGGCGTCGGCTCGGTGGGCGGAGGGAGAAGGAAAAGGATGTTTGGGAGACGTGGTTCGGCTCGGGGATTCGAGGTCGGAACGAGGATGGGATGTGTGGGATATAAATGTGTCCTTTCTGTGGGAGTCATGGGCATGGGGGTTGTGGACTGTTCCTTAGAGTGGTTGCATGTTTTTTGGTTTTGTTGGGGGAGGGGGTCTCTCAACGATTTTTTTGGGGGTGGTGTTCCTTTAGGCCATCATTTAGAAGGTTTATCATGAGGCACTTTAAAGGACCTTGAGCTACACCTCGTTTCAAAGCCAGCCTCACCATTGCCTACATTCCGGCAGGTGGGCTCCAATTCTTGGAAATTAATTTGGCTCAAGTGTAGAAAGGCAAACCAAAAGAACATGTGTCACTTTTAGGGTCTCAAAAAGTTAGTGTTTTTTGTTTGGCTCAGTGATTTGGAGATATGGTTCTGATAGGGAATGGTAAGTATGGGCTGGTGATTGGCCCGGAAAAAGGGAATATTGCAACAGACGAAGCTATTTGGATCAGTGAATTCGAGGTGTTCCTGTGACACATGTCAATTTTGTCTCTTGTGTTCAAATGACAGGACATCTTGGATAGAATTATTGATATCTGGTATACCTTCATGTCTTATGTATCTTATCTTGAGGACAACAGTCTTAACTCTGAGATCTCATTATCTTATATGAACGCCTATCCCATAATTTCCTATTTCTTGAGTAAAGCGTTCATGATGTTTGATTGACTTCACCTATATTTGTCTTGGGCCAAGCAACTATATTCACCTTCCAGGGTCGGTTCAAAATCACCTTTTGGCCAAGTCAAACAGAGAAAGAGGCTGAAAGTCATTTGTGGTATTTGGCTTGCAACAAGCATGATGGTGCTGAATTATAGCTGCTCCCTACGTCCGCAGATCTGCAGTTGGTTTTTCCGTTGGGCTCTTGCTCGGATGGTGTAGAGTCACATGTCCGGTTCCTCAAACCTCCTGGTGGGGTGATACAGGGTGCATGGCAGTATGGCAGTAGCATCGCCACTCTTGAGCTATGCTTGGGAGCAGCTGGGTGACAAGATTCAACTGGTAGAAAGCTCCCGGTGTTTCGCCCTGTTCCACGGTTTCAACATACGTGGAGACCACTAGTCTGTTCCCTGTGAATGGTTGTGTTCCGACCGAGGTCCTTTGTACATGTTCTTGTCGGTTGTTTTCCCTATTTCTCGTTTGACCTGAAGAAACCCAGCAGATTATGAGAACGGATCACCCAAGGAGCTGACAGCTTTTGACTGACCATTAGATGCACTGGCTTTGGCAATGTGCGCTTTGCTCCACCAAGCGCTTATTGTATCTTATTGTTCGACCCTGGAAGTCATGAACTGAGGACATGTTCAAATATTGGCTCAACACGATTGCATAGATCAGCATACGCAGAGCGCGAGGGATGAGTCAAGCTGCCACGTGCTGGGACGCTGTGGGGGGCAATGCCAGGGGTACTCCATGGCTTGGAAACACATCGTGAAAACAGGTAAACCGGCTGGAGCCTTGCCATTCGAATTGGCAGATGTTGGACGTTTTGTTGTTGCCGGGTTTTGACAGAATAGTCAAGGCCAGTTCGAACTTTGAGTGTTGCCATCTTTGCCAAAGTCAGAAGGTCAATAACCATATTTGGTTTATTATTGTGCTTGCTTCTCTTTGTAAAATCAAAGGCAAAACTGAAGCCTTCCATGGTGGGAATTTTTGAAGTGACGCTTCTTGACCTCAACCGACACTCACCCACCATCCTTTTCGCAGGCGGGCAGCAACACCTTGATGCAGGCGGGCAGACACCGCACCGCACTCTATCCCCTTGGAATGAAATACAAGAGCCAGTTAAATTTAAACACAACTGATCCCTCATCCTTTAAGGAAAGCCGTAATGAGGATTGGACCACCATTAGTGGTTTCAACATTCAATCCATAGCTGATGGCCAAACCCAAACCCTGGACTGTTGCTTGCTCGTTGGCCATACACAATATGTCATACCATCAGACAGAAAGTGACAAATGTTTTCTCACTCAGACCGCCCCGAAAAAGAAAGGAAAAGGCTCCCCTCACGTCCTCTAAAAGGCGAGTAACACGTAGATAGCGACCATGGGTACAAGGCATCCCTTTGCGAAGCTAAGGTGGATACAAGGGTGCATTTTTCGTGAGGCGCCCCTGCAAGCTGCCTAACAATGATCATACGACCACCGGTGAACCTCTTTCCAGGGCACTACGTTGTCACCAACCAAGCAACCGAAGGCATATCAAGCCAAGGAACTGCGGACCCATTGACTACTTCCCTGCAAGTCAACACGGCGCTGAAATTGAAACCGTGGGGTTCCCAAAAGGAAACTCCCTTTGGACACAGCGTTTTGAAATCCTTCGGAGGCCTTCAGTTGCAACCTCCCTGTGGCCCAGCTGCTGCTCGACCACGGTGCATCCGCGCCTCAGCATCGAAAACAAAGAACCCTGATGTTGACCCCAAAACCGACCCGTCGAGTCAACCAAATAGCCAAGATGAAGCAAGTGATGTGGGCTGATGAATCAACTCGCCTCGAAGGGGTTTCTTAATCAATCCTGGGTTCCGATTTGGAAGGGCCATCAGTGCCAACACTAGGCACGCCTTGCTGGCTCGTGTGAGCTAAAACGACCCGATCTGTGTGGATGGGATTCCGTCTCTTTGACACATTCCGATCACCATGACTGTGTGTGTGTGTGTGTGTCAATCTTCAACCTGAGACATGCCTAAGGACCAGATGGACCAAACTTCAGATGTAGCCAAGCTTGGGGCAACTAGATGTTAGTTTCCTCTTGCTGTATTGATCTCGAGCAAGCATCGCGCCCTAGCATATGATGCAGCTTTGTCATACATTCGGACTTTGCAACAGGTTGTTAGGTGTGGAGTCTCGTTAAGCATTCAGGCTACAGAACTTCAGGTGCACAGTGTTTGTTCCCTCCAGGAGAGTTGAAATGTGCATGGTTGACGACAGTAGTTCCCAACACCCTCTTTCCGAACATCCTACACTCTCCCAGTGTCCTCCAAGTGCTCAGAAAGGCCACACATGTGTCTGAGACTGGTTGGGAGACCGATCGGTTTGCTTGGATAGTCGGCCTCCAAGAATTGAGCGTACAAAAAGCTGCCTTAACTTACGAGTTCTGCGCTGGGTAATCAGCACTCCTCCCTGCGCGTACTTTGGAACATGAATCTCAAGCCAGGGTCCCCTTAAGCCCTCGCAAGAAGGCCTTGGTGAGCCTTGAGGCTTACTACCAAGGCTGTGCCTTGGTTTGGCCATACTTGGGCCATACTGAAAGGCCTCCCCCCCCTAGAAAACAAGGTATGATGTCAGGAAGGACAATGCAGTGGAAGGCATCAAGCCAAGATATCTTCCTGCTTATAGCTGTCAACAAGTTGCTTCCCATTGAGCTTCTTTTGCACAACCTCCAAAACGATTCAAAACGTGTAAAACGCGTGACTGCTCCCCACCAGAGGAACTGTTTTGTTGTTACAAGATTATAGAAGCTCACATGTACATGTGGAAGCCAGTTGGCCGGGAATATGAGCCGGTTCATTCCTGGCTGGTCTTTGGTGGAACCAAAGCACTCTGAGACCCTTTAAAAACAAGAGAGTTTCCTTGGAACCAGCAGTTACAAGCTGAACACGAATTGTACAAGGCAGAGTTCTCCTGCTTGCCTGGCCGTTCGGCCGGGTGAGAATTCCCAATGTGTTTAGGGGAATACCTTCAGGTAACGGGTGAACCTTCTGGTCTAAATTTAGACATGGCCGGAGGTGACTCCCTTAGGCAAGCCTGTATGGGTGTGTCTTGTTTTGAGGGTACCCCTTTTTGTTGTTTGAAAGGGACACCAAAAGGAACACCGCCATTCTTGGGGTACTCCTATTTTGGAGAACCCCTATGTTGAGACACACCCATATTTCTTCTTCGAATTCAGCATCACGCCGGCAAAAGCTGACAGGTAACGCTCACCAGCAAACAATCCCCCGATCCCTCTGGGGGAAGCCCGAAAGGGCCCAGATTTGCACGTCGCATTTCGGGTTTCTCAAAATAGAAGACCCCGTTCACATATGTTGTTGAAGGGAAGGCAAAAGGAAACTATCCAAGTACAGGATTCTGCCTTGTGTCTCTGTGAATTGCCCAACAAACGGGAAAGCCAAAAAAGTGCCACCGACCATCTTCGGGGTGCACCCCCGGCCCCCCACTCACCCATCCTCACCCACCCCCACCCACTCCTCACCCACCCCCACCCACCCCCCACCCACCCCACTCACCCACCCCCCACCCCACCCCCCCCCCACCCACCCCCCACCCCACCCCCCCAGCCACCCACCTGCCTTTGCGGGTGACCACCGGACCGGAGTCAGGTGGAGATGGTGGACTCCGCGGGCCGCAGCGCGCTCTTCCACGCCGTCACCAGCGGCGAGCCCGAGGCCGTCCAGGCGGTGATCCAGCGAGGACGAGTCGGGGCTGGGTGGGGGTGGGGGGTGGGGGGTGGGGGGGGTGGGGATGGGGGGTGAGTGGGTGGGGGGTGGGGATGGGGGGTGAGTGGGTGGGGGGTGGGGATGGGGAGTGGGGATGGGGGGTGAGTGGGGAGTGGGTGGGGGGGTGGGACGAGGGGACGAGGGGTAAGTCTTGTTGTTTTCTTTGAGTGGAAAACACAGGCGACAGGCGTCAGTGTCTATGGGCAAAACCTGCTTGGAATTTTGGGCTTTTGGGGTACCCCTTTGTTTCCTCCAAGACCCCGAAGCCGGGGTTATCGGAGTTAGCTGTTTGGGAGCTTTTCCCAGCTCGGTAGATTCCACCCGTCATCCTTTTTTGCTCGGCTGTACAGTGTGGGGTTGGCTGCTGTGGGGGTTTTGTTGGACATTTGAAAAGACATTGATGTTATACTTGAGCTTCACGGAATCTGGACCTTATGAGACCACCCGTTTGCTTGAAGATGTTTTGCCTGAAGCTGGCAATGGACTCCTCCTGTGGTAGAGGACTTCTTCGAAAAGGGGGCAAAAGGGCAGCCGTCCGCCAAGATGCTCCGCTCACTTTTCATGTTGTGGATTTAGAATCATCTTCGTGAAGATCATGTTGTGGGAAACAGGCGTGTTGTTGGGGTCGGTTGGTGTATTAGTATAGGTTTCCCGGATTTTGCGGTTTTCTGGATTGTTGGTGTTTTGCGTAGAGCCCTGGATCTTTGTAGATCTTGCTTCATTTGCCAAGATGTTCCGATCTGCGAATCCGCGCAGATCCCTAGTTGCCATGCGCAACTGAGGCGGCACTCGCAGGGCAAATGAAATCGCCATAAAGATTGGAGGGTGTTGGGCTTCTTCTTTTTGTGGAGCTGAAGGCTCCGGTCATTTGGATCTCACACTGATGGGGAGGGCTGCATGGGGTCTTGCAGAGCAGTTCCGGATCTCTTTGGGGGGGTTGCCGCGGATCTCTTTGGGGGGGTTGCCGCCCCCTTTTTGTGACGAAGTCATGTGCTGCCTTTTGTGCGGTCGATTACACCCAACATGTTGTGGCTACTTTGCCGACCCACGATGGCAAATTGATCAAGCCACAAAAGCTGGATCAACAAGGTGTATGCTTAAAATCAGGACTCACAAGCGAGAGAAGTATGGCGAATGCCTGGATGGGTTTTGAAATTGGGCGGCTGCGCAGACATGCGTTTGCCAGCATACCAAGGGTTGGATGTTGAATGATACGTTGTCCTCACGGCCAAAGCACTCCTGAAACTCCGAAAGGTTGAGCAATGGACCTTCATGCCGCATTGCCTGCTGGGTGGCTTTGGCAATTGAACCACCATTTGCTCAAGCAAAGATGCAATATTTACCCGTCATGCCCATTCCCTTTCAACCCAACCAGGGGGAAGCAACGGGAAAGTAAGCAACTCGAAGAACGCATTGCCAAGACTAAAATCGAAAGCCTGCTCCTTGCATGTAGAACCTAGCTTGAAATCAATTGTACGTGCGCAGATCACTTGAATTGCGATTTCAGAGCTGCATGGTGTTGGCTTGCGCTGAACAGTGCAGGAGGCCGAGTGAACATCCTGGACGAAGATGCACGGACCCCATTGTTTCTTGGCAGTTTGGTTCTTGGGCTTGAGGCCTTGGTCTTGAGGTGCATGCTTGGGCTTCAAAAAGTGGGCCCTGTCGGTTGGGTTCGTTTCACAGCTGTCCGTTTGCCCGGTGTTGACGTGCTTCAACCAAGAGGGCGGTCCCCGACCACAAAGCCTCAAGGAGTGACTTCGCCTCTGCCAACCAGGCTTAAGGCTCAGCAACTGAATCGGTCAGAGCCCACTTCGGTCCTCGAGCCACTCATGAGGTGGTGCGTACCCGAGGCAGAAACCCACTCGGAAGGCCACCAAGAGCAACTAGCTCGGTATGTGGGAGAAGAAATCTTGGGTAAATTCAACTAGTCCAACTGGGCTTTACAAGCACCCGGGCACCCAAGCGGCCAAAGCTGGTCCTTGGATGGATGTCTTGACACCTGAAGGCCCAAAGAGATTCAACGAGCTCCACGCAAGTTCCTCGAATTTCCCAGCTTGTTTCTGTGCGAAACAGGGAATTGAGCCGAGTGGGTTTGTTCAGCTTTTAGAGAAAACGGTCAACCGTTTCACCTGTTGGCCCAGGTTCCAAAAAATTATCTGCGCCCCATAGGCATTGATTGTACAGAGTCCTTTTTCAGCATGTAGAGATTGTTCACGGGCTTCTGCATAGAACCATGGCAGGGACCATTTCCTTGGTACAACATGTAGGAAAAATGACAGGTAAAACAGTGTTCAGGCAAGGACAGTGTTGGATTTTGCCAAGGATGAGGCTGAATCAGGTGAAGCTGAGTCCAGCACATGGGCGGTTTGACTGGTCCTGGGCTGTTTGTTCAAAGACTCAATCCTTCCCTTCGGTTTTCAATGGGGTCCTTGCCTTTTGCACTGAATAGATGCTACATAGGATTGGCCGACCCTTGTTAAGCAGCCGAGTTTCCCCTCGATTTTGCCCTAGGGGTTGATGTCCGCCCCTGGGTTGAAGCCATGAGCCATGAGCGATGAATTGCAATGGACCAGCCTAGTGACCTATAGCCAGTGGCGCCTGAAGAACAACGCCGGGTAACCTGATCTGTTCATGGATTGATCATCTGCTGAGGAAGAGTGCAAACAGGACTGTCAGGCTGTGTACATATACACAACAGTCTATATGTCATATATATATATATATACATATTATTACATCCATGCACATATGTGCGTTTAGTTTAGGCACTGCTCTCCTGAGCTTCCCCATTTGTGACAGGTACCAGGCGTGTCTTATGGGCAGCGGAGACCTGGTGAAGCTGCTGTTGGCCCACAACGCGGACCCCAACCTGGCGGGCCGGGGCTCCTCAGTGCGCCCCACCGCGCCAGAGGACACGCGGAGCAACCCTCACCGGTGAGCACTTCTTGGGCAATCAGGGTACCCTTTGCCAGGCTTTGCTAAGCCTCGCGCTGAAGAAATCAAAAGGTTTGCAACAAACCGATAGTTTTAGCTGCCCTTCTTTTGCCACCCCTGTTCCAGAGTCCACCCTGCGGCAAATTTCCTGTTGTTCACAGGGTAGCGGCCTCCCAAATCCGAGGAATGGCTTAAAGACATGCCCTCCCCCTTGTCCTGCGGCTCGGATGGGACCTGCATGTTTTGGGCCAGCATGGTTGTTTTTCACCCCCAGACTGGCCCTCTCCACTGCTAGGAGGAGGACGGAGCCAGCCGAGTTCTGCTCGAAGAGGCCAGAACCTGTTTGCAGATCTCAACGATGTTGGCGCACAACGAGCTGATGGTCTGCTTGTTGGAGCACTCCGCGGATCTGAACGCTGCCCCGGGCAACCTGGGCTGGCGCTTTCGGCGGCAGAAAAAACGAAACGACCCCCCCCCTGCAATACACCCTGTCTTCTTTGTTCTGCAATATGCAGTGGTGTGTGCGTGTGTGTGTGTGTGTGTGTGTGTTGCGATATTGTGCCGTGATCCTTTGCGCTGACCAATCAGATCGTGGGCCACTTTGCAACGGGATGTTTTGAACACAGCTTTCCACGCATCTATCACGGGATGTTGTTTTCCGCCTGAAACGATGTGTTTTGGCAAAAATGCCTGTTGATCGATGCTGCAATCAGATTGGCAAACAAGTAATACGGCATTCGTGCCATGATCTGTTTGGTCACAACCATGTCTCATCTGCAAATTAAATGGGGCTGTCTCGAAATGGGGGCACCAGTTAAACGCGAGTTCTTGGACCAGCCCAAAACAGGGCCTCAAGACGACATGGACTGGTGAGCTGAGGAGTGCCTTGCACCTTTGCGCCGTGGTCAACAACGAGGAGGGCGCCTCCCTCTTGCTCCGCCGCGGTGTGGAATTGTCCGAAGACATCGAGGCCTCAAACGGCTTGGTGCCGAGGGACTGACCATCAGTGTCCGTTTTAGGCCCGTCTGCTTGTAATTCTCCCCAGTGCCACGTATTTTTCCGAAAGGGCATCTAGTAGACTGACCATTGCTGGGCGAAGCGGGGGATCTACCATTGTCAGTTGTTGTACTCTTTTGTATTTCTGTGGGGGTCTTGAGTTGTCCCGAACAATCGAAAGCACCGCGATCGAAAGCAGTCCCCCTTTGAAAACCCCAGCTTTTTGGCAACGGACTCTGACGCTAGGTCCCCCAGCTAGGTGCCCTTTCACCCTTTTGCGGGGGAGGGTTCCCCTACCGAAATAGACAAAACCGAAAAAAAGAAAGAAAAAAGAAAAACAAAAAACAACAAAAAGCGTCAGGTACCCTCATTCCAAGGTCTGTGAAAGACCCACTCGGTGTTTGGAAGGGAGCCAAGGAGCTAGCCCAATTTGCCTTTGACGGAGCCAAGCTGACGGATCCCTCGCTCGAAAGGCCGCGGGAGTTTCGTCGTTTCTCCAGGGTAACACTGCCAAGATGCTGGCGGAGCGCGCGGGCCACGAGCGGCTCTTGGAGCTGCTGGCCCACGAGGCGCCAATCTGATGCTTCGAGGGGCAAACGCTCGCCGATCCGGATGAAACCCTAATCAGGGTAACACAAAACCACAAAACAGGGTACCCTCACCCATATCCGTGAGGGAATCCAGAGGCGTTGAATCCTCCTTCTGCCCGCCCCTTTGGATTTCCTGAAACTTTAAACCACCAGAAGCTTCCATTTGGTTCTTTACTTTTCCACTGTTGGTTTTAAATGGCATCTATCTCTACTGGACATATTTTATTTCTTCCAGGGCACTCAAGCAAATGGAGGCAATGGGTGAGTGTGTGTGTGTGTATGTGTCTTGTTCTTGAGTTCCGGTAGCCTTTTTGGGAGAAAATATAAAGGGAAGCGAGAAGGAAAAGCGAATCCATTTGGGTATTTTTAAGACAAGACACCCGATACTGGGATAAACCAAGACGCAGCTGGTTCAAGAGCCAGCGGAGCCAGTCTACTGCAAGTTTTTTGGGGGGACGGGAGGCGTAACCAGAAAGCTTACCCAAGTGTGCCATGTCCTCTTGGTGAACAAATCATATCCAATCAAGTGTTTGGAGTCATGTTGCACATCATCTTTTGGGCCAGTTCAAAGTGATGTTCCGTTTGTTGGGGTGTGCTTGCTTTGGGGGGAGCACATTTGAGCCAACAGCAATCCAATTGTCTTTGCGGGTCAGAATCCAACACCACACGGAGAACCCTACTGAAAGAAGTGAAGTGTAACCTTCCAGGCCAAGTTACAGTTTGGCGAGGTGACGTTTGTGGGCCCTGGTCGGGTCCATGATCCCAGAAGGTAAGATGAGGATCCAACAACAGGGCTGAACCAAAAAGGGGGGCCTTTGTTTCTTGGTGGTTCCCAGCCATCCCCCGCAGCGTGTTAGCTTTTTGCAGGGGTCTGAGGGCAGCCCAGGTTTATGTGGGACATGCAGGAAACCTTGTTGGTTGTGGCTCAAAATTAAAGGGATGGGGTTACGCAGGTTGTAGTCTTTGGTTCCATTTGGCTGTGGGTCCAAACCAATGGTACCAATTTGGGGTAGGTGCCCCACCCATTTTGGTACCTAGTTTAGCGGGGATTGAATCGGATGTTCACTGGGGGCACGATTTGGATTTTGACCCATGGCCATTTGCCAAGGTGCCATTTGTGGTCTCCATGTTTTTGACCCACAGCCTGTGGACCAAAAAGCTTGTCTCAGGCGGCCCCCGCGCGGGCGCGGCCCAAGGCACCACTGCCGCCGCTGGCCGGTGGGCGCGAGCAGGCAGAGGCCAGCCATGGTCTGCCGAGGAAGGAAACCCGAAAGGGAGAAACCGAATCTTCCACCTTGGATGGAGGAAAAACCCTACTAGGTCCCCCAGCGGTGCCCTTTTTATCAACTTTTCTGGGGGAGGGTTCCCCTACTGACTAAAATAAACAAAAAGAAAAAAGTAGGTACCCTTATTCTATCCTCTGTAATGGAGGACCTAGACTATGATCAGAGGGAGAAGCCAAATCTTCCACCTATTTGCAGGATGGAGGAAACCCTATGAATGGGATAAACTAACTGGTTTCATCCATCCTCCACCATGGAAATGGATAAACGAACTGGGAAAGACCAACTCTTCCACTTACTGGTAGGATGGGTGAAGCTCGAATGTGATAGACATATCTGGTGCAGGACTTTGTCTATCCGCAGCGTTACTCGCCACCGGCCACCAGGTGCGTCCAACCAACTGTCCAAATAACAAGTGAGCGCCATTCTGGAGATCAATACTACAGTTCCTGCATTTGCTTATTTACTTGACATTCTGCACCTGTAAATTAATGTAGAGAGGGTCCGCAACAAAATAATTCTCCACAGCGGGAGGGTACTTTTGCAAGATTACATCATGTGTTCCTTTTTGAGATGGACTCCTGGGAAGACCTCTTCCGGGGCAACAACAACTTCACAGCATCGTTGTGCTGGCCTGAAGCGAAAAGCCCTTTGGTTTAAACCCGTTGAACATGGGTACTAAACCCCTCGTGAGAAGGTGCCTTCTTTATTGTCGTCCGCGTGTATCTCGATTTAAGATGATCTATGTTCTTATGTAGGATAAGACTGAATTGTGATTTTATGTTGATGACCCAAATTGAGGTGGTTTGGAACTTGGACCATCTGTTTTGGGAGGTGCGCTGTTTATCTTGGATATTGTTATTTGGTGCCGCATAGTTAGTGTTGCGTTCGACTTGCTGGGCAATCACTTGATTGGTGGGTTAGCGGCACGGGGCAGGATGTTGACTTGTTGCACACTTTTCGGGAAATTCAATCTGGAGCTTGTTGGGGTTTTTGGCTCCCACCCAAACATGGGGTCAAAAGAGAAGCATTCCGCGGGGAGCATCTCATGGGAATCCCGTTTGTTTGTGGCGCAACCTGCAAGACGAGCTGGGTGTGTCTAAAATAGATACATCGGTGGTTTCCTGGAGCGCCAATCACTGTTGGAAAACGTGCATATGAGACAGCTCTACCTCTCTTCAAGGGATCCCCTAGAAGAAGGTGCTAACGAGTTTTATGACCCTTGCGGGGTCCCTTGCTTCGCGAAAGGAAAGACCTTCACCCAAACAAAGGAATGCGTCTCTGGTGAATTTTAGGGGTTCCCGGTATTTTGCCCTCGGTTGTCACCCCCGGCCAAGCCCCGGAACATGGCGTACTCCCTTGGCCAGCGGCTTGGGGTGCACCAAAGTTTGTTTGCCTCGCTTTCCATGTTCTCACCCGTTTGGCTTGTGGGATCCTTGAAATATGAGGAATGTATGGCCAAATAACCACCAGAAGCGGCCCCACGAAAGAAAGTGAATCATAGAGCTGTTGGAATCCATGTGCGGCTCAGGCTCCAGAGCTCGCTCCTCTGGAGTCCTTCAAAGAAGAGTGGGCGCCCCGTGCGCCTGGAGACTCCCTGTCGCTTGCCCAAGGGCGTGCTCTGGAGGGAACGGCTGCTCAATGGGACATCTATTCTTGCTTCCCCAAAAGGAAGCCAAAAGAGGATGGATGGATGTTTCAGAAGTTGTCCAGACCCTATTTGGCAGCCATGTGCCCCTTTGGTGGTTGTTTGGTGGTTTCAAAGGGAAGGCAAAGGGGAACCCGAACCCTTTTGCTGCCTTTTTAGAGACAAACCATGAGTCAACTTTTTGGAGATCTTGATCCTTCTACTTGTTGGCTTGGCTCAAAAAAGGCAGTGTTACTAGATCCCCCAGTAGTGCCCTTTTCCCCTTTTTGGGGGAGGGTTCCGCTACTAAAATAGACTACAGAAAAAGGGTACCCTTGTTCTATCCTCTCTACTGGAGGACCTAGGTTAAGCACCTGTTTATTGGTTGGACACTTGCTTTCGTTTTGCTTCGGGGAATCCACTGTTGGCAAGGGCTTTGAAGGGAGCCCAAACGGAAACCACCCATCTTGCGGGTCGTTTCCTCATTTTGAGACAACTCATCTATACCTGAGCCCTCCAGGACTGGACATGTGTTGTTTCAAATCTAGCGGGAAACATGGTCGGGGATTGTCGCCGTTTGGTCGTGCAAAGTCGCCGTTTCGCATTCATGGTTTTGTCCCATTCTGCAGAGAGTAAAAAAGTGAAAAGTGCCTGGAGACACACAAAAAAACGTGGTTTCTCACGAAAAAGCAGCTGTTCGCACAAAGACCCGAACAATACACGTTGGAAGATCCAGGTATTTGCGTCCACCAACCAGTTACAAGGGAACATGGGTAAACTATGGCGACCTAAAAAGGAACTCGGGGTTGCCTTATTTCAGGCGATCATTTGCCAGGGAAGAAGTATCTGCTTGGGCGATCGATCATATTGCCACCCAGGCTGGATCGGGTTTTTGGACCCATGGTGCACGATGCGATGCTCAGCAGCCAGTGGCGCCATCGCTGGGAGGCATACACCTTTATCTCCAGGAGAGCTGTTGATAGGTTGACACGGAGCAAAACAACGAAGTACGCCCAGCATGAGGGGTCCTTTCAGATTGGCTAGGTCCCCTAGTAGTGCCCTTTTACCCTTTTTTGGGGGAGGCTTCCCCTACTAAAATAGACCAAAAAGAAAAAAGTGGGTACCCTTATTCTATCCTCTCTACTGGAGAACCGAGTTGGCATTTGGTTTTTGTCCCCCCATTTTTCCGGATCCGCGAACCATGCTTCGCCCGTAAAAACGAAACGCATAGCCAGATGTAAAACTCGCTCGCAGGAGCTTCGCGGAGCTGGGGGCGGAGCCCCGGGATCTCATTGAGGCGGTGAGCCGGGCCACGTGCATGGCCGCGCGGGACAAGATCCCCAAGGCATGGGGCACCGGTCCGTGGGCTCGTTGATTTTTCTTGCACACATCGAATATATATATATATATGTATATATATAAGAATACATAATAATATTAAAATAATTAAAATACTACTAATAATAATAGTAGCAATAAGAATAGCAACAGTAATCATAATGATAATAATAATAAAAATAATAATTATACACATTTGTGTATATATATAGGTTTGTCTTTTGGTAGGGCCCCACGAAACAAAAAGAAGATGTGTTTGTTTTGGCTTCCCCTTGGAACCAAGCAACAGAGGGATCTCTTAAAAACATTCTACCCATGCCCCAAGGTGATGTTAAAAAGAAGATTCCGGCATGTCGTCCATATTGTAGTTTGAATCAATACAAAAGCAACACCCTGGTAGAGGAAGCCTAGTAGGGGTAGATATGATCCGATTAATTTCTTACATGATGTTTGGTAGACCCCTTCAATACCAGGTTTTGACTACTCCTGTCATACCCAGGGAATCAAGTGCCGTTGCAGCGGTAAAGTAGCCATAGGGATGGCCATAGCTGGTATCACAGCCATGCAGGTTTGTGTTTCAGGATCCCAACCAACCATGTGGGTGTGGCTCAAAATTGAACAGCTGGGGTTACGCAGGTGTTGGTCTTTGTTTCCATACACCAAGGTGCCATTCTGGTACATCATTTTGATCCACAGCCATGTGTGTAGCATCCAACTTCGGAACCCATTTTGTTAGAACCCTTCAACGGGTCATGCGGGCGCCCCATTCCCTTCAGGTCTTCCATGCAGCGCTGTCCGTGCTGGAGGCGGGGCTGAGCGGTTCAACCTCCGCGGTGGTTGAAACCCGTTTTCAATCCCCTTTTGGGAGGGAACGTATTTTAACCATTGAAACAACCTCCTGATTGCTCCTTGACTCCTTCCTGCGAGGGTTTCACTATGGAAAGCCAAAATGACCTCCCTTACCCTCTTCCAAACATTTCCCAGGCCCCCTGTTTGACACCCCACCTTCGCCAGGAGCTCTTGTCCACCAGCGCAGTGGACGAGGTCTCCTGCGAGGACTTCGCTCAGCTGCTGCACTCGGAGGCCCGGAAGATTCCCACTTCTGCCTTTTGATCCGCGAGACGCGGACGCGACAGCGAGTTGGCTTGCGAGTAGTGCCCTTTCTCACCCGGTATTTTTTTGGGGGGGAGGGTTCCCCTACTAAAATAGACGACAGAAAAAAGGGGTACCCATTATTCTAAACTCTCTACTGGAGGACCTAGATAAGCAGCGCATGAGAAATGGAATGAACCTGGGGATTCCCTTACAGGAACCATAGGGGCTGAGCACCGCCAAGTTGAGCTACAGTCCTGTCTTTTTTGAGGGTACTAGTACCCCCTTTTTGGTGGCTTTAGAGGGAGATCAAAAGTAATACCCTTCCCATTTTGGAGTCGCAATCACCCACACGTCCTGAGATGTCCTGAGGCCGCCTTGGCCATATGAAGCTTGATTAGTTTCCTTAATTTGGTTGCCTTTTTGGGGGGTTCTTAAAATTTACTTTGGGAGGGTTGTTTCCCAAGCTACCATTTGGAGAGTAATTTTGGGGATGTAGCTTTACTGGGGCCAGCTTGAGGTACTTCCGCTACACATCGGTTTGGTGCGCATGCGTGACCCTTTCCGAAGACTTGCTCCCGTTTCGAAAGGGATTTTCCTCTGCAAAAGAGAAGCCAAGCATTTGGCCGTCCTTAAGCCAACTCGCGAGCTCCTTCAACGGGGCCTGTTTGACACCCTGCCCATTCTCTTGCGTGTTGCCGCAATAAGTTCTTCCCCCCACGTTCAATCACCCAGGACTCGTTAGTCCTCCATAGCTTCACTGTTCTTGGCCTGGGCTTGCCTGTTCGCTTCAAATCCCTACCAATCCACACCACCTGACCAGGAGGGCAACATGTTGGAGCTGTTGCTGGATCAGACAGATGTTGGCGGCGGGTCCAGCAATTCGACCTCACCTCAGCAGGCCTCCCGGCAAGCTGGCAGGTTTGGGTGTTTGGCGTGGCTGGTGGTGGGAACGGGTGACTGGGGTTGGGCAACATGTGTTTAAACAATCATCCTTTGAAATCCCTAGAGAGAAACCAACACAGGGTTGGTTTCAGCCACCTGAACCGCTCCAACTCCTCTTGATGGACTTATAAGTGCTCTCCGTTTGCTTACTGGGCCGAGCACCCAAGCAGGCGACCTTCAGCTGGAAGTTGACCACTCTCTGGGTTGCTTTTTGTTTGAGCCACACAAGAACGAGAACTTACGCTCCTTTAAATTTAATCTGGACGCCAGAAACAACAAGATCCTGCCTTAAAAGCACATTCCTCGATGCGTTTTCCGGGTCCCGTGAGCTGCCCTCGGCGGTGTGACAGAGAGTTGACAGCTAGCGCATGTGACCCCCAAGGGTCTTGGGCCCATGCAGGACCCAACTTTCTCTCGTCTCAAAGGCCTCTTTTTGCCTTGTAGCACAAGTCTCTCAAGTTCAAAAACAAGCCTGGGGCGCCTTTCTGGTATCTGCCGTAAAGGCAGCACCTTCGGCAGGTCCGAAAAGGAGCACTGTGAAACCACCCATTTTGGGGGTTTTCCCAGAGGTTTGTCTCTTTAACCGTCGAAAGCCAGGCGGCGGCCAACTCCTTGTGCTCCTGCGTGCTGCACGGCCGTGTGTCTTTGGACGAAGCGGCTCTGCCACTCTTCCAGCGCATTGACGAGCGACTCAGAGCGCTGACCAAGGACGAGAGCGGCTTGGTCAAAAAGAAGAAGCTCGGAGGAGCTTGAGCAAACAATAATATGCGTAAGGCTGTCATCAAAACGCGTTGAAGGTTCAAACAACTCGAAGGCGCTTTAGCAACCAAGCCGGGGTTCCTCTAGATTCATGTTTGTTTTGTAGGTTTTGTTTGAAGCATGGGGGTCTAGATTCATATGTGCAAGGTTCCCAACAAAAAATATCGAAGGTTCCTTCTGGTTTTAAGCATCACCTGGTGGGAAAGGGCCAATTTATGTAGGTTCCTGTTGCCGGGCCTTGCGTCGGACATCTGAAAAAGACGCGGAGTCCATGCGCTTCAGCCGAATTACCCGTGAAAGACCTGGATTGCTCGTTGGTTTGGCTCACAAATTAACCTTTTAAGGTTTGACCATCCCAAGAATATGGAGGCTGGACAAGTGTGCCTTCAGGCAGCTTCCAAGTTTGTGGGGAGGGTAGCCCATTGCCTGCCGTCCTATTTTTACCTTGAAAAGGTAGTCTACTCATCACCGTCTTTGCTAGGGTGAGGGACCCTGCCGATTGCGCTCCTTTTTTCATTCGGATTCAAACGACCAAAACGGTGTCTCACCATTCGCATGGGTGCAGGAGGGGAGCTTCCACAGTGCGTTTCTCTCGTCCGCCCGAACATTGAACACCACAAACCTGAATGCTAACACAATGTGCCGAGAACGCTTCTGGGGGTGTCAAGGGTGTCGACTTTGATCCTGTCCAACTGAGGCCCCCCCTTTTCCAAGCACAAAGACATCGGTAGGCACCATTTGGTTGTTCCGAATCGTCTAAAGGGTGTGTAGCGTGGAAGCTTCGTGCTACCTTCCAGCCCCACGTTTCGGAAATTGAGCAATGGCTAAGTTCGACTTCAAAATTGCACACACGAGGCGATTGCCCTGAGGGAGCTAGTCTTAATTCTTGATTAAATCGTCTGTATTTCGACACTACTCAGGTGCCCAATCGATCTTGGCTAACCTTTTGATTTTGGAGCCAGTTTCGGTTTATGTTTGGGGGTGATGACTGTTGTTTTGCCCAGGTACTGTTGCTGTTGCTGCTCAGCATGCCAAACCCAAAATGAGCGGCAATTGCCTCACCTAAGACTCTTTGGACCATACTGGGCCCGTGGGAAGCAGGGAGTGGTCGTCCCCACGTTGATGGTAGTAGGGAACCGTTTTCCCCTATTTTCAGTAAGGAAGTCATTGCAAGAACTAGTGGTGTCACAACGGTGGAAGATATGATGTGAGAGAGATGGCATGCGACACAAAGAAGAAGAAACGCATGCCATTCATCTCGCTCATTCACTCGCTTACCTTCTTACCACCCAACTGTCAAAGGTTCGGAGACATGCTTGACAAGGAAGACCATCATGTTCAGTCTATCCTCTCATGCCTTGGATTTGTTCACTGGAGGGAGACTCTGAGGATAGTCGATGAAGACTCCAGTTACAATCAGTCTGATAGTTGTCCCGGGCCAACCGTTGTCCCGGGCAAACCGGCCAAGAATTCACGCAAGAAAAAAAACGGTGTGATTTTGATTTTCAATATGCTACAATATAGGAACCATTTTATTTCCCCTAGTTCAAGTCACAGATTAGCCTTTGTCTAGGTCCTTCAAGTGAGAGATCTTTGACCCTGAGAGCTATTATAGGCCCTTTTTCCTGAGCAACACATCCCCAAGAAAAAGGCACAGATGCTGGGCGACGTCTAAGGCAAGATCCCCAAGTGCCTCGCTGCAAATCTGAAGCTTCTGGGGCGCATCCTCACCAGCGCCTCGGAACTTCGGATCGGGGCAAGGAATGGAGCGCTTGGATCTTTGACCTCTTTTGGGGCTAAAATAAGGGAATGATTTGGGTGTGGCTCACAATTTAGGAGCTAGGGGTACACATGGGTTACACATGTTCGAGTCTTTGGTTCCATTTACCAATTTGCCGTTTTGGTACACTTTTTTGAGCCACAGCCATTTGATCCTTGGGTCGTTGAAAAGAAATCGCTACGCCTCCCCACAACCAGCAGTGGGAAAGGGGACACCCGTGTAAAGGGGAATCCCCCCCCCCTTCCCCAAAGAAGCCTCTCCCGTGGACCCCTTAGGAACACATAAATGCACCCATGCGAGGATATTGAAGAGTGCTGTCCAGGTTTCTGGACAAGGGCACGACACTTCTGAGCCTCCTTGGAACCCGCGGGCAGCCCCCAACGAGCCCAAACCAAGGACCGGGTTCCATGTGGATATCCAGTTTGATTATTCAGAGAGAGACGCCCAAACCTATGCCTACTCTGACTGAATGGGATCTCCATAGCCACTTACAAACCATGGGACTTCAAATTTAGTTATGTTACTGGTTTAGGGACACAGCCACATTACACGCATGCCGACCATGTGCCTCGTTTTTGTTACAGGGACAACACAGCAAACCTAACACGAAGGCGTCAGACCTTAGAGGTGTTTCCCATGTCTCAAAGGACTCTCCACCAAAGGGAGAGGTCCAACCATGTCCCTTTTTGGTGGTTTCAAACATCACCTTTTGGTGAGTGTTGTTGGGGTGATGTTTTAAGGGGAAATGTTGGGAGCCCTGAAGAAGTCTAGAGAGATACTCCCGGGCCTGGCGGCCTCGGGACCAGGTTTCGGACTGCAGCAGTCCGGGCTGTTCCGGCGGGCGCTGCTGCTGCCGCTGCTGCTGCGGGCGGCTGCATGTGAGCAATCCAAGGCCAGCGGCGATCGCGGTGTTTCATTTCCAGGTGGCTCCCAGCCATCCGGTTCGTGTTTGAGTGTAAGATAGGGCCTCAGAAGCTGAGCTATCTGTGATAATTACTCCCCCTCAGCTTTTTGGCCTTTTAGGGTTTAGTGGTAGTTTCCATTTAACCCACTAAAAGTTAAGAAAGTAGTGGGGGGTCTGAGGGCAGCCCAGATTTGAGCGAACCGCGTGCTGAAACCCCGAGTAGATGAAGGTTAAGGGCCAATCCCCTTGCCATAAATCAATTAAACCAACTACAGGAAATTCTATAGGAAACCCCTGAGTTTGGTGGGTGTTGACTTCCTGTATAATTTCCTGTAGCTGGTTTCTATGAATATAAATGGGTGCGGATATCCGCCTTCATAATTCTTGAAGCATGGTTCTGGGTACACCATGTTAATGCCGGGTTTTGATTGTGGCTCATTTGAGTTTCGAGCAATCTTTAGATCAGCAGCCATGCAGTTAAAGTTCCAACAACTCCGAAAGCAGGGGAATCCTACGGCACCCCGCAAACCTGTGATGTTTCTTGCAACCACCCCACCAGAGAAGGCCCCAAGCAAGTAGCAGGTACGGTGGTTCGGCCGCACACCGTGTCGGTTTGACCTGCCATCCCAATACTTTGCTGCAAAAAAAACATGGAACCCTACAAGGGGTGTGCCGGTACATGGGTAGGGATGCTACGGAAGCTGAGGAGGGAGGATGGGCCATTCCTGCTTGCGATTTGATACATTCTGCCTAGGGATCCCTTACCAGTCCAAGTTTTAGTTTCATTCAGGGATCACGAAGACAATGGAACACGAGCGTCCCTTCAAAGTTGTTGCCGCAATGGGCGGGGCATCCAAAACCGGGTTTCCCTTTGGCTTCCCTTGTTTCTTGGGTTTCCTTCAACCCTAAGAGAAAGGACCTTCAACAAAAGTCGCCCCAATTGGACCACCCCGCCATGCCGTTTTGGAGAGGTGCGTGCAGCCTCAGGGGACTGCCTACTGCAGCTGCTGTCGCTCTCCGGGGGAACCTGGGACTGCAGAGCCATAAGCGTAGCCTTCTTGCGGTTTGCTTCATCTAGGCCCAGCAATTGGTGCCCTTTCTTTTACCGTTTCTTTTTTGGTTGGGAGGGCTCCCCTAGAATCGACCAAAAAGACAAAAGTGGGTGCCAACTTATTCAAACCGAACCTCAAATCTGGAGCTCGCCATGGCTTCCCCGAGCCGAGGCATGGAGGAGCGGCTCTGGGACCTGCTGCCGCCCAAGGCCAAGAAGCGGATCCAGAGCCTCGCCACCGGCCACGAGGCGCCTGGACGCGTCCGAAACGCGGCGCGGGTTTTTGTTTTTCTCCCGCCCAGAGGCCGGGGAGAGATCGATCCGGGTTCATGCTCCAATGAAACGGCGTGGTTGCCACCTGGAGTGAAGTCGAAGAATTTGGGGTGAGAAGAAAGAGAACTTGAACAGCCCGCCAAAATCCATGACTGGTGGAAAAGTGGCAGTTGACAAACTGCCATGATGAAGCATGATTTCAATGGCAAACTCCGGTATAGTATAATGTGTTAGCCGACGAATCGCTGAGGAAGTCGTCCGAAAAGGTCCTTGTATTCAGATATGAGGAGTAAGATCTTTTGGTCTTGGCGTTGCCCTCCGCGAAAGCTTCACGATTGAGGTCGCGAGTCCGAATACTCAAACCCCCGAAGGCTGGCATAGCCAAACCCGGGACTACCTGCCTTTTCAACAGGAGGGTTTGTTCATCAAACCATATTTTCTTGACGATAACTGAAGCCAGAAGAGAACCTCCGAAATGGGTCTTGCATTGGCTTATCTTTTGAACAACCCAAACAGGGCACCCTCACAAGGACTCACGTACCCAGGGCAGTGGAGGAGGGGTGGAAGGAGGGGCAAGAGAGCCAAACCCTGGCGAGCGCGAGGGCATTGCCCTGCTGAGCGCCACGCCCTGCGACGAGGACGCCATGGCCAAGGAGGACCAGAGAAAGGTCCCCCAGCTAGGTGCCCTTTGACCTTTCTTGGTTGGGAGGGTTCCCCTACTAAAATAGACTGCAGAAAAAGGGTACCCTTATTCGAACCTCTCTACTGGAAGACCCAGAGAGCGAGTTTTCGCGACGGATGCATCTGTGTGCGTGTGTCTGCGTGTGTGCATGTCTTTTTGAGGGTACGCTTTGTTTGGTGGTTTTAAAGGAAAACCAAATGAACAGCCATCATTTATTTATGTTTTTTTTTGGGGGGTGTCCCCTAAAAAAGGGGACACCCAATCTGGGTTGATTACACCATGTAAATATGTTTAACTGGCTGGCCCCAAAAAGAGAGACACTCGTCTGGGATGGTTACACCATGTAAATGTGACTCACTGGCTGACGTTTGGGGGACGGAATCGCAAACGGGCTGGAATTTGACATTTGTTATCGCTAGGTTTCCATGCACAGCCAGCTGCTTGTGCAGGGCTTTTCTCAAAGTAGCGGTGCTCCAAAATGGGCGGTTTCGTTTTTCTCCCCAAAAAGCGGCGCTAAATCAAAACGCCCCGGGTGACGTGCCGCGCCTTTGCGGGCAGGACATCGTGGCAGAGGAGGGCCGGGCAAGCGCCTTCCTGCGGCCTGAATCCAGTGGCAATCCGTTTTTCTTGTTTGGTCGGTGGTGGCGATTTCCCCCAGCAATTGGTGCCGTTTCTTTGACCGTTTCCTTTTTGGTTAGGAGGGTTCCCCGAAAATAGACCACAGAGAAAAGTTGGTGCCCTTATTCTCACCTCTCCACTGGAGGACCTAGGTGGGGTTGGGTTGGGTTGGTTTCTTTGGTTTGTTTTATTTGGGGGGGGGGCCGTAAAATGAAGGGTCCCTTACTTGTTCCCAATTTCCGGTGTGCGACTTGTGCGGATGTGGAATCAGTCTTCCCCCAATGAGAAGCCCTCCAACCACCAATAGCAGCAACCCATGCGAACGCCTTTCAGCCAAGGTGCGTCTCAGAGCTCAACTCGCTGACCTGGTCGGCGCTCAACGGGGAGAGCGTGGCGAGGTCTCCAAAGGCTGGAAGACTCTCCCTTAAATGGCTTCTCAAAATAACGATCCCTCAAAGCTCTTGCTTTCCCTTTGAATTCCAATCCAGCGGGGGTCATGTAAAGGGGTCCAATTACCATTTTCAGAAACTCCCAAATGGCGATTCGCTGGTTTCCTTGTGGCCCTCAAAAGTGGCCTGGTTTCTATCTTGACTGTCCATGCTTTCCAGTCGTTCCCTGAAAAACCAAAAGGGTGCGCCTCTTTGCGCGATTGTCTCCAAATGGGATAATGCCCCCACCCCCAAAAAAAAAGAAGAAGAAGGTGTCGGTGTGTAGTAGAATCTCGTTAAAGCAGCCCGAAAAAGCCAAAACAACAAGCCCAAATCTTCTGTTAGCCAGCCTAAGCATGGCTATGCTTTTTGCACATGGAGCCTCCTCAAACATGTTCCTTGGAAATAGGTGTTTTTTTAGTTTTAGCTTGATGGACATAGCACATGCTTCAGCTTGGCTTGCCATTTGTCAGTGCCACTAGCTTGCGGGTGGTGCCAGGATGTGAACTGGGAAGTTGCTTTTTGGGAGCAGGGGGGGGGGAGAACACTTGTGACACAGGTTAGGCCATTAAGCAATACTTGATATTCATCATCCACCATCACTTCCTGTCTTCCTGTAGCAAACGGCTGATGGGTGCACTTACCACATCACTATAAGAACATGGAGGTGGTCAGTGGGCCCATCCCAGCTCTTCCCATTTGACAACTCTGATTGAGTTAGGTTGGGGCTTTGGCTCCGCGCAGTGAAACAGGGAGTACCACCTTTTTGGGGTCCCAACTAGTCCCAACCCCGTTGCCCAAGTATTTTCTGGCCTTTTCTTCGGAGGTTCTGTAAATTCACCCGGAACAAACAAAAAAAGCAACAAACAGGAGCAAGTCCAGTTGTGTTGTTCTTTATGGGCAACCGAAGGGCAAGTCATTCCAAACAAAGAGGAGGTCCCACTTGACTTGAGAAAGTGCCTGGTTTAAAGCACGCCAGCCTTTTGTACCTGCAAAACCGTCATTTGGCCACTTAAAGGCTTGCAAAACCCAATTGTCTTTTGAGTAGTGTGGGTAGTGGACAGCTACTGTCCAGGCCAGTGATGCTTTGGGCCTGGCAGATGAAGCAGCGGCGCAGGCAAGCAGCAACGGTGAACGGCCGTTTTGTGCAATGGGCGTCCTCCCCTTAAATTTGGTTCTGGCTGCTACTTGGGCGTGTCTCTTTTTGAGGGTACCCTTTGGGTTGGTTTAAAGGGAAACTACGAGGAACACCACCATGTTTGGTTCCCCCCATTTGACACAGACCCACTCGGAGGAGTGGAACCTCAAGTGTTTCACAAAAGGCGGCAGGTAACGTGTTCGGTCCTTTTCATTGCCCACCAGATCCCTAGCCATAGTGGGTAGCCAAAACAAGAGGTTGTCCCCTTTTGGGACCCAAGAAAGGTGATGAGTTGTGTGCGATTTGTAGGGATTGATTCAGACCCGGGGGGTCTAGAGGAGCATTCCTTTGAGACAGATCCCTGCGCAAGGTTTGATTCTGACTCAGACCCAGCCAAAAGGCAACCCGACAGAAAGGTTGCAGCTGATCCCATCGACTCAGCTGGGCTTTTTGGGGGGTATCCACGGGGCGCCAGGCGCTGGTTGCAGCCTTCAGCAGCAAAAACTGGAAGCAACGCGCCGAGAGCGTGAACGACCTGGCGGCCAAGCTGGCGGCCGCAGGAGTGGGGAGGGTTGAGGAGGGTTGAGGTACCAGTCAGATGGAACTCGCATAGGAACTTCTGTGTGTATTGAAGAGACCGTAACAATTTTCGAAGGAGTTAGATTTACCGGATATTCTTGTTTACAATATCTAATTGATTCCGACTCCAAGCGATACACGTTTGTCCGCAACCTTTGGCTTGATAAGCTCGTGAGTTATGGCCCAAAGGAAGTTAACTATGAAAAGGCTGACGTCTCGAATCCAAACACAACCCCGATCTGACTTCGTACTCGCGGACTTGTAAAGTGGATGCTCGTTTGGGGGTACAGCTGGAACTAGTTGCGCAGTTGCGTGTTGTCTCCTGCAGGAGTGAGTTTGCACGGGCTCTGGCAATCTGGCTGATGGGGTCAAAGATAGGATTTGCCCACGTCTTTCAAGGCGTCCATGCAAATGTGCGGCGCACGAACCTTTAGCTCCTTTTTTTCACATGACGGGGTTTCCCGTGAAGCATGGCAAATTAGTCATAGGGATGATCCATGTTGACAGCACACAACGGATTGTTGTCATATTCATGCTTCCAGGTGATCAGCCTTTAGCACCGGAGCCTGCAGGTTACCCAACCAGTCTCCTGGTGAATGGAGAAAGCGAGCGCTTTGAACCCGCTGTGATGAGTTGTGCACTTTGAAAGGCAACTCTATCACTGCAAGATATACTCTCGCACCAATTCAAGATTGCTTGTTGCTGGTTGGCTTAGCACCAAAGCAGTCTTACCTTCGTGTGACAGGCACGTGATGTCTCCCGCGACTTGCTGGAACATGTTCACATGTTTCAACAAGGAAGCTGCATGTTGGCTGGAGGGGTTTAGACCAGCTGGCATCATTTTTCCGAACCTCGACACTGTCAGCGATTGCCTTTTGCTGGACTCCTCATGCTGGTCCAGCTTTCGACAGGTTTGCCAGTTTCGAAAGGGCAACCTTGGACTGGCTGTGTCCAAACATGTGGTTGGCTCCTTGTTGTAAACACCGTTCCAACCATGAAACACAGGTGGTTTACAGGATTTCGCCCCATTCCCTGCTTTGCAACCTTTATGTTCCCTTTTTTGGGGGTCACTTGAGAGCTGGCAAAAGGCCTAGCCCCTTTGCCAGGCGAAGGGGTGAAGTTGATCGAAGGCCGGTCCGGGCATGGCTGGAAATCTGATGCCGGATCCCTTGAGGGTTGTTTCGTTTTGTTGGTTTACACTTTTAGGGGGCTGTCCCGTTATTCTAAAGCGGGTGAGCAGGCAAACCCTGGGATCGATCTTGCCAAGTTGGTCAGAGGGTACCAGTGTAACTCTGTCTAGGTTATTCACCCACGTAAAGGGCGATTGTTTGTTCCGCTTGCGGGACCTTTCTGGTCCTGTATTATTGACGTTGTCGTGAAAGGACATAAATTCTCACCGAGATGTCCGCAATTTCTGCCTTACCCTCAATCGGTGGTTTGCAGTGGTTTGCATAGTATATGGCGAGCTCACCTAAGCGAAAACCTTGACTTGGGGATCCCTTTTTTCCCGAAAGCATGGCGAAGGGTTCTTCCGCTGGGTTCACTTGAATTGTTCTCATGAGAGTCATTACAAGGTGTCATTGCAAGGAATCATCATCATGAAAGTCAATGCAAGGAGTCATTGCAAGGAGTCATTGCAAGGAGTCATTGCAAGCAGTCATTGCAAGGAGTCATTGCAAGGGGCACACTTGCAACTTGCACTTGACACTTGCAACTTGACTCCACTGCACTTGCACTTGCACACTTGCACTTGCACTTGCACTTGCTTGACTCTTTGGCTCCTTGCAACTTGCAATGGCTCTCACTTGACTCCTTGCAATGCACTCTCTTGCAATGACTCCTTGCAATGACTCCTTTGCAATGACTCCTTGCATGACTCCTTGCAATGACTCCTTGCAATGACTCCTTGCAATGACTGCTTGCAATGACTCCTTGAAACAAGCAAGGAGTCAAGTGCAAGTTGCAAGTGCAAGGAGTCAAGTGCAATTGACTTGCGAGGAGTTAAAATCTCTTCTTAGGGCGGCGGGGTAGTGCCGACGACACTACACGAAAATCGACCCTCTGCGGGGATCGGCGTGGTCGAGGTGCAAAAACCCATGGTTTTTTGCGATTTCTAACCTGCTCGCGCGACCCTCTGCGGGGATCGGCGTGGTCGAGGTGCAAAAACCCATGGTTTTTTGCGATTTCTAACCTGCTCGCGCGACCCTCTGCGGGGATCGGCGTGGTCGAGGTGCAAAAACCCATGGTTTTTTGCGATTTCTAACCTGCTCGCGCGACCCTCTGCGGGGATCGGCGTGGTCGAGGTGCAAAAACCCATGGTTTTTTGCGATTTCTAACTTGCTCGCGCGACCCTCTGCGGGGATCGGCGTGGTCGAGGTGCAAAAACCTATGGTTTTTTGCGATTTCTGCGGTGCTCGCGCGACCCTCTGCGGGGATCGGCGTGGTCGAGGTGCAAAACCCATGGTTTTTTTGCGATTTCTGCGGTGCTCGCGCAACCCTCTGCGGGAATCGGCGTGGTCGAGGTGCAAAAACTCAAGGTTTTTTGCGACTTTTGTTGTTCGAACTGGTCCTCGGGAGTTGTCTCGTGGTTCGCGCGCCTGCTCCCGGAACCGGCGGGTCGCGGGTTCGATTCCTCCCTGGTCCGCGGGCGGGCGTCGCAAGATGCAACTTGCATTTTACAGCAACTTGCGCAGAGCAACTTGCGCAGAGCAAGTTGCACAGAGCAACTTGCGCAGACCAACTTGCACCGACCAGTTTGCGCAGAGCGCCTTGCCTAGAGCAACTTGCGCAGAGCAACTTACGCAGAGCAACTTGCACAGAGCAACTTGCACAGAGCAGCTTGCACAGAGCAACTTGCAGGGAGCGCAATTTGCACAGAGCAACTTGCAGGGACCAACTTGCCGGAGCAGAGCACCTTGCCTGGTGCTGTCTCGCGTTTGCTTCACGAAGTGTAGGGAAAAAGAACGCATCCTGCAGCGTTGGGCCGACCTCGCTTGCGATGCTCTGCTTTCGGGCCAACCGTGGTCTAGTTCAGTTTTTGGAATTATTGTAGAATTTGCTTGGTTTCCCTACAAACATCCTAAAAGAGACCTCGTGAGACAAACGCATGGCTGCATGGCCTAAGGTTCCGAGGTCGGCGTCAGATATCAGTGGTGCAATGTGCGTCCTTGAAAGGGTTCTGAGGGAGCTTCCATGACCTGATGCCCACTCCGCACCCCCAAACGACCATTCGGGACTGATTTTGAGGATGGCAGCCTGAAGTCAGATGCTTTTCATTTTGCACATCTGAACCTCTTAGACTCTTAGACGTTGCGCTTTCCTGTGCCGTGACTGACTTCACTGCCTACAGCATTTTCATACTTTCCTCTCCAGGGGAAGGCGACGGCGGGGGCCCGCTGCTGTCTCAGTACGTCCTCTGCAGCTTGCGGATCTCGTTGCTGCAGACGGAGCTGGGCACTTTGCTGGCCGACACGGTGACGGCCGTCTTCGTCAGCGCGGCGGACCGGGGCTTGGGCTTTGGATGGCTTCGGCTTGTGGCCAGTAATCTAGGTCCCCAGGTGCCCTCTTACCCTTTTTGGGGGGAGGTCCCCTACTAAAATAGACTACAGAAAAAAGGGTACCCTCGTTCTAACCTCTCTAATTGCTGGAGAACCTAGTGATGCAAAAGACAACCTCACCAAGGATTCCCATATTGCCCGCTGAAAACCAGCAAGTTGAGGACTTGGGGGAAAAGTGTTGGGCTTGGGGCCCAGGGCCAGAGAGTTGAATCATGCTTCACGCAAACCAGTGTAACCATTGCAGAGCTTGACGTGACCTATGCACAAATGGATAGGTCCAGCCTTGAAGCACAAGCTAAATTGAATGGAACTCATGGTTCCACCATGGCTGGACATACTGTGGATGGACGAAATCCTGCACCGTTCAGAAACCCTGGAATGACTCGATTCCCCTACACAACTGGTCTCATTCCCCATGTTTTCATGACTCGTGGCCTCCAGGATCTGCTGCGCTTGGTTTGCAGCCAGGCAGGGGCCCCCGATTTTTCGTCCCTGCCGGGACACGGAAAAACCCGGGAAACAGGTTGTTGACGCTGGGTCGGAGAAGCGGCGTGTCAGCTTTTGGGGGGAGTAGGAAGCCAAAACCAGAGAAGAAGTGGAAGCAACTTGCCAGTTTTTGGGGAGTTGTTATTGTAAGCCACAAACAAAGAAGTTGAAGTTCTGCGCTTTGGGGCAATCCTCGTGAGCAATTGAGCAGGAGATGGATGGTCATGTGTGTGCCACATCCACACACGAGCAAGTGAGCAAATAGGAGGCTTTCCAGCACCTGCCAGCTAAAGTACAGGCAAAGATAAGTCACCCATCTATGTTGGTTGATTGTGGGTCAGTCAGTAATAGTCAGTCGCCCTGCCCGCCAAGCAAAAGGGGTCATTAGGGATCGACCCTCCCACAAGCTTTTAAGGAAAGCAGGAAGTCCAACCACTTGGGCACAACCGCTTACCACCCTTTTCTCCGTTTGGGGTGGGGAATGGAGAAGAACATGTTTGTACATATGTATATATATATATATTCGGTGGCCCTTCAACATGTGCTGGCTTCCTTTTGGTTCTCCTTCAACACGTGATCTTCCTGGTGGTTCTCTTTCGGACGCCTTCAACTGAAATCCCATGTTGGTGGTTGTGTTTGTTTCCCGCCTTTGTTTTGCCTTTCCCTTTGTGTGTTTTGGTTCCCCCCTTTCCTTTGGGCAAGTCAGATTGAGATAATAAGTTTAGAACAACTGTTATTTCCCGATCCCTGTTTTTGTTTTCCCTTTTGGGGAACTAAGATGGAACCTGAAAGGGGTCTTTGGAAGACTGATCCTCAAACACGGAGACTCTTTCAGGTTCCATGTTTTTGGAAGTATACAGCTGGGTGAAAGTAGATGGCACAATTCCCCCGTTTTGGATATCATCATCTACTTTACCCACATCTAGCTTGAATAGTGTCACCTACTTTCACCCTGTCCACTTTTGAGGGATTTCCAGAAATACACCAAAGGAACCCTTTGTTCTAATAATGGCACCCCTGGGTTTTCCCTCATCTTGGTGCCGCTCTCCGCTTCGTTTCGACGCCGAGCCTGGTGGCGAGGTGCCGCTGTACATCGCCCCGCTGTTTTTGGAGCCGCTGCTGCCATCGCTGGTGGCCCGGCTGCTGGACACCTCGCAGAAGGTGCGGCACAAGGCGCTGGAGACCACCCTGGAGGCGCGGCGGGCGGAAGGAGAACAGGGCCCCAGACCACACGTAAGTTTTTGTATATATCCAAGCCTACCGGACAAACCTGATGAGTCAAGCGCCTTGGCAGCGCTTTGAAGCTTGGGGCTTAGAGCCTGGATTGAAGATTTAAAAGCAGGCTGGCTGAGAGTCTGAAATCTTAGATCCCGAGATGGTTTAACGGGCTTGAGACTGTTTTGCGGAAATGCATGTCCAGAAATGCCAAAATGGAGTGGTTTGGAAAAAAGGAGAGCACTGACTTAAAAGTGCCACACATGCAAACAACTCTTCTTGGAAGATGGTTTTGGTTGCCGGGTGGGTGGGTGTAACCACAAGCACTACTATAGTACATATGTATACATATATATATATATGTATTATAAATATATATATATATATATATGTATATATATAGATATACACATCCAATGTTATCCTTTGACAACACGTTTGCTTTGTGTTCCAAGAAAAGCCGCCGTCTTCTTTCTCGTCAGAGCTCTGAGGTCTGTGCGCTGCACGGCAGCGCCTTGAGCGAGATGGTGGCCTGTTGCGTCTCCAGCGGCAGCGCCTGGAGCTCTGCTTCCGAGAAGTCCGGGGATCGGTCCACAGGAACCGACCCCACTCGCTGAATTCGGGGTCGGCCAGGGTTCCTCCCATCCTCCCCCCCAAAAACCGGGTGTGTTTCTTTGGGGGTTAGGGCGTTACTTGGGGGGAATGGGTTCTGAAGAAGCTTCTTTGGGAGAATTGATAAGACAACTTGGGTTTCCTTGGGGTAGACATGTTGGTTCTTGGAGTTTCAGTCTGAAAAATAGACTCTAAGAGACCCTCTTCTGGGAGTTCGTGTGGCTTGAACACCTTTTCAGCTTAGGGCTCGTAGGCAAATCAGTATTGGATCCACTTCTCAGGAATTCTGGCAGGGGTGGAGGTTGTATCCCAACCAATTCAAAAGCCAGTCTTACAGTGCCGTCTCTTCTTTGGAGCAACAAGTTTCAACCTAACCTTTTCAGGTGCTGCCTTCACGTTGAACAGTTTTTTCTTTGAGGCCGAAAACATGACAACCTGGTATTCATGTGCAGCTTCAATAGAGAAAAACAGATCTTCACCTTTGAGTGTTTGTTTTGGTTTTTCCTCTTGTTGTGTGGGCTGTTGTTCTGTGTCAATCGTCGGCTTTTTGGGGTGGTTTGGACAGGCCGTTTGAGCCCAAAAGGGCAATAGACAACAAACATAGCATTATTCCCATGTGGGGGGGGGGGGGTAGTTTGAGCATGGTATTGTTGTTGTTTTTTCCTTTGGTCTTTTTTGTTTTTTCTCGATAGAAACCATGGCTGATTAAATGTTTGTTCGTGTGTCAGGTCAGGAAACTAGAGCATAATGTTTCTCGGTTTAATCCAACCTGTTGGAACCTCGTACATCAATCATGTTACATTCCAAAGTTGCCTGAATATGACCTAGACTCAAAACCTGCATTTGTGGGACTAGACCTGTTGCTTGCCAAGGTTTATTGACAGTCCTTTTCTGCTGACGATTTCTTGTGTGTGTGTGTGTGCGTGGGTGGCACCTTAAGTGAATGGAATGGGACGTGCCCGATTCTGCCTGTCTTGAACATGGCCTTTTGGATTCTGAACAGTTTCGAATAGGTGTGGTGTTTGAGACAATTCCTGCCAGGGCCTAGACTGCAGCTGCTGACACAGATGGTGCAGCGCATGCAGGACCTTAGGGGCTTTCGACCTTCCCGCACCTTCACTTGACTTCCTGCCCCTGTCACGTTTGGGCTTGGGTTGTACTCCCCGGAGTCCGCAAAGGCATCCTTCCGACCTTGACCCAAAAGGAGATTCCTCTACAGATGTGCTGTTTCTGGGCTCGAGATCGCTGTGTGCTTGAGTTGCTACCCTTGCCAAAGGCACTGCGTCTTCGGGTCCCCTAATCATTCCACGACAGAACCCAGACCTCCGGGAAGAGGTTTCAGTGGCATGTGAGTCAACAGTTTTCCGACTTCTGGCCCTACTTCCGCGGAAGCGAGCCTTCCCGTAAGAAGTCTCTCAAGCGATTCCCGAAACATGTGCAATCAAAAGAGATCCCACAGAGGAACACATCTAGGCCCCCAGTAGTGCCCTTTTACCCTTTTTTTTGGGAGGGTCCCCTACTAAAATAGACTGCAGAAAAAAAGGGTACCCTTGTTCCAACCTC